CACAGCGATGTCGTACTTACACTGCTTACAATTTCAGGCAGCATATAACGACAAAGCGGATTCCTCCCAAAACACCAGCCGTCGTTATTCACCGTTTACTGAAACGATAAACGCCACACAAAACCGGGCCGTTACACTCAACAAAAAGAGTTAGTGGCTCCGACTCGCGGCAAAGTGCATACAACTATCAAATTGTATGCATTCATAGCGCATGATCGCGACCGCCCTATGCATTGAATTTTTTGGCTCAGCGCGCTTCAGTTCTCTCTTCTAAATATTTCTAACCTTATAAGCATGGCCGCGCTGTAGGATATTGTCTTCGTCACCTGAACGTGTGCATCTGGTAGACACATAACTACCATCGCCTCTCCGGAATCAGCTGGTACGGACTCGGCTCCTTGACAAAAGGCTTGGACTCGTTGATGGCGAAGTCGTGCTGGAAGCCGTCGGGAAACCGGAGCCTGTAGCGCTGCACCACGCTGGTGACGAACAGGAATAGCTCGGTGCGCGCCAGCGTCTCGCCCAGACAGGAGCGCTTGCCCACAGAGAAGGGCATCAGCGCGCGGCTGGGTCGCAGCTGGCCGCGCTCGTCCAGGAACCGCTCGGGCCGGAACCGCTGTGGCTCCGGGAACAGCCTGCCGTCGAGGTGGACGGCGGTCAGGTTGGAAATGACCTGGGCGCCGCGCGGCACCGTGTAGCCGCCCAGCTGGAACTCAGCCGTGCTCACGTGTGCCACCCCGATACCGGCGATGTTGGACAGACGCTGCGTCTCCATGAGGAGGGCCTCCGTGTATGGCATGCTGGCCTTGTCGGCGAGCTCTGGCGGCCGCTCTCGGCCGATGACGCCGAGGATCTCGTCGTGGAGCCGCTGCTGGACCTCCTGGTGGCCGCAGAGGAAGCAGAAGGCCCACCGCAGCGTGCTGGCCGTGGTGTCGAAGCCGGCGGTGAAGAGGTCAAGGATGCAGCGCAGCAGGTGCCGGTCGGTGAACAGCTCCGGTTGGCGGCTCTGCTCCTGCAGCAGACAGTCGATGTAGTCGCGCGGCTCTCCGGTCAGGTCCACGGTGCGCCGGTGGCCCTCCAGTGCCGGCAGCAGCAGCTGGTCGATCGGGTAGTGGAAAATAGCGCGGATCTTGTTGATGCCGGTGATCCACTCCGGCAGCAGCATCAGACCGGGCACGTTGGCCATAAGGAAAAACAGCCGGGCTTCCTTGAAGAACTCCTCCTGTTTCTCTATGATCTTGAGCAGTTTAGCGTCCTTTATGCTGACGATCTCCCCGGCGACCAGTGCCCAGAGGATGTTCAGGATAGCGATGTTCAGGCTGTGGTCCACCGATCTCGGCTGCCCTTTGTTGGGCTCCAGCACCTCCTCCATGAACTCTTTGATTTGATCGTGGATTATTTCCACCGACCTGGACCGACCCATACCAAAGTTTCTTAGCTGAAAGAGAGTGAACCGCCGTGTCTGGTGCCATATTTCACCACTGGTGAAGACCATCCCCTTGTCGGCATAGATGAGCTCGAAGCCGGGGCTGCTCTGACGGGCGACGGCCATCGGTCCGTTGAACGCCTCTCGGATGAGGTCCGGGTCGGAGAGGACAATCATGGTCTCCCAGCCGGCGGTCACCTTCAGGATCGGCCCGTATCGGCGGCTCCACTCGGTGAAACTGCGGTCCTGGTGTCCCCAGTCGATGGAGAGCGCCTGGCCGAGCAGAGGCAGGCCTCGCGGACCTGCGGGAGACAGACAGACCGAGTGACAGACAGACGACATTATTATTGATACACTCTTCGGAGCAAAGAACTTTGGTAATTCCAGAACATTGTTTATGCTCATTTCGGAATGAGATACGGAGAAGACAGTTGGGGCGTCAGCGGCCGGCTATAGCTATACCCTGGTTCTAGCGGGCAATACTGAAATTTGCATGAGAGGGTACTCATGAGTTTATGACACAGAGAACCCCGTACGAATGCAAGGAGATAAATGAAAGGTGTGCCGTTTTCTACATACCTGTGCTCTCTATCTGTTCCCATGTCCGATAAATAATGAATCTATGGGTGTCTCGGCGTCCATTTGGCGATGCCTATGTTTCAAAAACTCATTTAATTTTAAGTGGTTACATTTATCCCGGCAGTTGCTGGGGTATTTCGACACCCACCGTTTGCTGGGGGGGGGGGGCGTTAAACGCCCCCAGCCGATAACTCGAGAACCAATAGGCGCAGCGAAACGCACTAGGCGGCAAACGAAAGAACGCGACAAGACGCTTCAGATGAGTACTTTAAAGTTGAATTTTGAGGTCACAGGTCGGGTCAAGGTCAGGTCAAACACCTGAAATCGGGCTTTCAGTAGCATGGACTTCAGGACTTCGCAATGGGCGCCTCTCGTCATTAACTATGTCAATACGGTGCACAATCCATCATATAAGGCCTACAAGAGTGTCAGCTCCATGTAGGGGTCAGTCAAGCATAGGTCAGGGTCAAGGTCAGGTCAACCGGGTAGGCAAATATCCCCGAAAATCAAAACTGATATTTGCAGCCTGTGACACATGTTTTATGGGTAATTTGGGGCGTAGAACACGATGGTGACATTCATTTTATCATATGTGTACGTGTTTGGCTCAAAAAGTTCGATTTAAGAAATGCATGTATCATGGTCGTGAGGTAGTCACGAGAAATTGCCAAGATTCACTTCAAGATTTTGGAAAATGCGGAACGATAATCAATAATCGAAGATAGCCATTTAATTGTTCATGGTATTGACAGTCTAATGGCGTTTACGGCATGTCTGTATGTCTATTCTGTGATTTTATATGATTTTTTTAACATATGCCGTTTTTGGTCGAAAACTCAGAAATAATGACGTCACCAAAACCTCGATATCTCAAAAATTATCCGACCGATTTTTTTTGAAACTTTGTCACAATGAACTTCAATCAATTCCCTACAGGTACCCAAAATTTGGCGCGCCTGCGGCGCGCCGTTTTTATGCTATGGCCCGGCGAAAAAAGTGGGGGCGTTTAACGCCCCCCAGCAACTCGCGGGTTATAACGCAAGTGTTGCCACAAAATAGTGAAAATATAACTCTAACATCGCTTATCAAATTTGTCAATTATACAACATCGCTAACAACCGAAAGGAGAGATAATGAAAGTGCAGAAATGTTACACTCTTTGAAAGTGTAAGCTACACTATCAAAGAATGTTGCACTTTTTCGCCTTCGTATATTCGCGATGTTGTATGTAAATTGAGAAGTTTGATAAGCGAGGTAGATACCAAAACCGTCAAAGCCCGGTCATATTAGCCGTTTTCACGACGGTCATCTGGTACACATTGGGTGCACATCTGGTACAGATTAGGTGCAGATTTGGTCAAATCAGGTTCAGTGTGTCTCCTAGCAGCTATCAGCTAAGGTTGCACTAATTGCTTATATGCCTGCTTTATCATATTTTCAGAGAGCATCATCGATTAAAACACTGAAATAAATTCATAAAATAAAGATATTTGCTGTAAAAGAAATAAGGTGCAGATTTGGTCAAATCAGGTGCGTTCGCCGGATAGCCCGTCGTGAAAATGGCTATTACTGCTTATAGCACTAACCTGGCGGGTGGTTGTCCTTCTTGAACACGCTGTAGATGGCGGCGGCCAGCACCGACAGTGTGATGATCAGCAGCGCCACGAACATGACGAAGCCGAGGGAGACGCGCTGGAGCGCCGCGCTGGCTCGGCGAACGACCCTGCAGCCCGCCGTCACAGCCGTGGAGTGTGGTGCTGCGCGCGAGCCTGCGTCACGAGACCCGGCGGCCAAACGTACGGCCTTGGAGCGCGGTTGGCGCTATTTAGTCGCAGATTTAGCCAAGGTCACATAGTAGTTATGCATGTGCTGTGTCATTCACGCTTTGGTCGGCTCTTCTAGACAATTTTATGACGAATGAGTTATGATGAGCCAGTCCAAGGCCAACAGAGTCCGTGATTTTGCGAGGCATATTACGCTTTTTACAGAATATGAATTAATCTTGCGTGAAAACCACACGCTCACGTCTGTAACATCGAAGAGAGGTGCCTATTTGTTTGTAAATCCATTTATTGTTAGCTACAGATAAAGAGAAACGCTATGACACTTAAAATACAAAGTGTTAGGTCGATACTGAAATGGATAAGATGCCGATTGAGATGACCTTTTCGTCCTTCTCTCGCTATAGGACCTTTGCTTTCCAGCTTCTGCTGCACCTCTTGCTAGGTGCCTATAGCTGTGCTTCCGGGTCGTATAAAACAAAACATTCAGTGTCTTTCTAAAGTGCGCAAAAGCAACAAACAGGCATTTCAATTGGTAATTTATCTGGTAAAAGCATTGCCCAAGGGCTAGCAAAGAAAGAGAATCTTTAACCGCAGGTTGTTTGAAAAGACAAACACATCGTTAGAATATGATAGATTACCGCTCAGAAGTTCGTGAACTTAAACAGAATAACGTCGCTAAGATTTTAGCTGACACGACATCATTATCTCTCATAGCAAGAACTCACTAACCGCTTCGTTGACAGCGAATTCATTTATTTTATTTCATTTCATTTCGGCCAATCGCATGGACTATCGCACTTGTATGGGCTTGAAAGTCATCTCGGAGAACAAAAGGAAGCCTATAACAGCGCTCACTCGAGCAAGTCGCGCTATGGAAATGCAGAAGTAGACGGGACGGATTAATGCATGTGTATAAGTCGTGAGTTTGAGTGTTCACACCTCTAGTATGACCTGAAATGGTCGCTCCTTCACCTCAGGCAGGCCAAGAGGCGCTCCTCTGCCTCTGCCGAGCTGAGGTGGGCGTCCGTCTGGCTCCGACGGCCAGAAATTGGCGTCCATTGAGTTAAAACGTCGGCCGGCTGCGCCGGCGGCGGTGCGGCGCGCAGCCGGTCGTCGGCGCCGGCGCCGGCCTCCGCCATCGATCGCCGACCGGCGGTGGCACGACGGCGGCCCATCGAGCCGGCCGACGGCCATGGTGCTGGCACCCGGTGACGGGCCGACGCGCCGCTGACGCCCACTGCTCCGTGCACCCGCGGCCGTCCCGTGCACCCGCCGGCCGTCCAGTGCACCCGCCGCGTACCCAGTGTGACCGTGTCCGGCCCTGGCGGCCCAGTGACGGTGACCGTGGACGGTGTGATACGGCAGCTGAGGAGCTCACCCTCCTGGATCGGCCGGCGGTGAGGAAACGCTTTGATTTGGTCACACTCTTGTCATATTGGCAGATGATGGAATTTAGATGGACTGCCGAAGAATGCGTACGTTGCTTGAACAGTGCTTAGGATAAAGGGAAGGGGAAACGGGATGGATATTGAATAATAAGCGCCAGACCTAGAAAGCGATGGAGCCTTGGAAATGGACAGATAAAATCGGAACTACACGTAACGATGGGATAAAAATAGATGGCACCGAATAAGAAGCTTTTTGGTACCGATCAGGTGTTGTGTGTGACACATAACTCTTTGGTTCTTCGTCCGGGGAAACTGACACCCCGGAAGATGCTGTTTGAGTTTCGGGGACAGTTGAAAATCACTTGGAGCCAGGTCGGAGCTGTTAGATGGTGGAGGGGGAGGGGGCGACGGCTCTTATTCTCAGCTTCCCCGCGCCTCGCTTGTGCTTGCTCTGACATGGAGTCTCTGACATGCCGAAGAATGAAGGATGATATGTTGGATGTCGATCCGAGTCGTGCTCGAACGAGCAGTGCACTGTGCAGATATGTAGGTATAGGCCGCAAGTGCAATAATCAGCCGTAACGTCCGCAGTATCGGAATCAATACTTTGTAGGGAGACGTTACCTCTAGGGCAAAATCGTATCTCTAGGTCTCACAACTGGCATAGGTACCTATCTCAGGCTTTCGTAAAGGTCACCTGAGGTCAGGTCGGTCAAGTGACGTCACTATTATAAGTCAATGGGAAAAATATGAAACTGTGCTATGTATTTTAGCAGGTCGTAAATGATCTAAGACTATCTCAAACACATAAAATCGTGAGTTCGTACATTTTGTGCAATTTGCGAGGTCCAATAATCAAGATTGGCATTGTTGACCTTATGAACATAGTGACGTCATTTATGAAATTACTATATTATAATGTTCAATGGGATTTTCGTCAATAACTCCCCATCAAATTGAGCCGAAATGCAGCATGGCATCCATCAACCAGCCTCAGCGTTGTGACTAAGGTGGCTTTGAGATAACCTTGAACTGACTATGAGGTCTACACCCTTAGTTGACCTCACCCAAACAATAACAAATCATTCGAAGCGCCGGAGCATGACAAACATAATGGCACAAAACCGCGACTCTGCAGTCGCTTTTGTCGATTTTTTTCATCGAATGCCGAAGGTATCTTGGGGTACTTGACCTGACATCAGACAGAGGGCACCAGTTGACCTGAGACTACCAGTTCGGCTACCAAACCAATCACTGCGTCTTGTAACAACACACACGCTCTGTTTTTAAGCGAAATCTTAGCTCAGTTAGAGCCAGGTCAAACGTAGAGGGGGTTTCACCCTCTCCCCCCCCCCCACTCACACTCGGTGTGTTTGCAGAGTGCGGCCAGCCTGTTGAACCTGTCGGTACGTCGAAAACCAATAGGTTCGGCGAGAGTTAAAGAAAATATTGCACTATCGACATGTTTCATGTCAGTTCACCTGTGAGGTCAAAATAACCTTATTTGGAATGGATCGTTTTTCTTGTTTTAACGTTACCATTTGGAGCTATTTCTGACATCATTTATTGACCCTTAACCCGCGCATGACTGGGGTATTTTTCCATAACGCGAGTAGTGACGGGGGGGGGGGACTCTCCAGAGCCCCCCCTCCTATCCCCGAAACTACTGGGCCGATCGTGAAAATTCAAACGGCGTCTGATAGCCCTGGAAAAACTGTCGAGCGAAACCTATTTTCATTGATCTCGAGGTAAACGATGACGTCACAGGTCAGGTCAAAGTCAGGTTTAGCCTGTCCCGTAGCTCAGTTGGTAGAGCATCGGACTCCCGGTAGTGAGAGCCCGGGTTCGAGACGCTCCGGCGCTCGATATACGAGACTCCTGACGGGGATGGTCTGCGGTTGGTGGGAGCAGCCGCAGCCAGTTGAAGTCAGTTGAGTGGGACAGGCCGTGTCCGGCTTTGAAGGGCACGTTAAACTTTGGCATCTAAATTCTCCCGTTACCCGGAATTGCGCGATCGGACGGTAGGGGTCGGGGTCTACGCAACAAGCTCTGCTTAGCGTGGGCTCCGGCTCTGTCAATCCGTCCATTCAAACATTCGAGCTAAATTTAAAAAAAAAAAAAAAAAAGTAAAAATTATCGAATTTTTGCTAGTTCACAATTTAGGCTCTGACTGCCGGACTGCCGGTCCGATCAGGCTCATTTTTGGTTTACGCACTCCTTAACGGATGCCTTAGATAGGTACCCTGAGGGTACCGAACTTTTACTTCGAATTGTTAAGGTCAAGGCCAGGTCATCCTAGGTCACGAAAATTGTATATCATGTATCGGTCACGTGACGCATGTTTTATGGTCCATTTTACTCGTAGATTTCGAAAATAGTGTTGTCTGTGTCATTTGAGGTCATTGTCAGCTGAATTTACCGGAGGTCAGGTCACTTTCAGGTCAGAAAAGGTCAAATTTTGAAAATGAAATTTTTCAACAAAAAAAGGTGCCTATCAGATGCAGTTTGAGCTCAGGAACACGATGGTGCCATTTATATTGCTGTACGACTTCAGAAACGTACTGAAAAATGGATTTGAAAAAAAAAAACATTAAATTGTAAAATTTTGACAATAATGCGAATAACTTAGCTATTTTTGAAGACATGGGGCTAAAAATTGCAAAGGTAGTTCATCGGTGTGTGTTATATCACATATATTCCGGTTTTTGCGAAAAATCAAAAACTTTTTGAAAAAAAAATCCATTTTTTTTTTGTAATTGTAAATACATATTTTCAAAATTTTCGAAATTTAGAAAATACGAGATAGCAGTTTGATAGCTACGTGTATTTGTAGTTCACTCATGCAAAGAAAATGGATCTAGCTTTAAAGGTAGTGTGCCAGCTTTCCTGGACCGTATGGAGTTAATGGCCCAGATAAGGAGAACCGGATTTTTAGAACTTATCCATACCTTCAAAACTCATGGAAACGCCTTAAATTCTTCAAATTTTGAGTACCCCAGTGCAAAATTCGCCCCGACGGGTTGTCGGTCGTACCCCAACCACATTTCACACCACTATGAACAATAAATGCACACACTGAAATCGCTATTACCGATATGCTCATCCAATCAAGTTTCGATAAACCCGTTCATCATCAGCTCCTGCGGTTTCGAACACGCCTGTTAGGTAGTGCGGTAGACCACGCCCAAAGCCAGGGCCCCGGTAACGTGAGGTAGCCGAGTCAGGGCAGCGTGCGCTGACCCAAGCCGGAGCCGCGCGTCCTCCCGGTGTCATGTGATAGCCCGGGGCTGCCCGCGGGGATGCGGTAGACCGCGCCCCCGGCTTGGGTCAGCGCACGCTGCCCCGACTCGGCTACCTCACGTTACCGGGGCCCTGGCTTTGGGCGCGGCTTCTGCTCATACTTTGTGGTGCGGTGGTGGTGCGTCGGGCTGCGCGCTCTGACTTCGGCCAAGAAAAATGCGTCAGCTGATCATTGTCATTTCTGCCACTTGCGTGTGGTGAAATGGGGTCATGACTTATGAGACGGCTTTTTCATATCAATTATTTTACATAAAATCATATTTCAAACCATAAATAATGTTCGACAGCCAAATAAAAGAAACAATACCAATACGGGCTTACAGTTTAAGGCTCGACATTGTGTTGTCTACGATTAGACAGCTGATAACTCATTCCCGTACGTCGTATGGTCGTAACACTATAATGACCTTTGCTTATTGTCACAAGTGCGCCGCATTCGCGATTGTTGCCGACGCCTGTTTGCAGGTGAGCCCACTACAGTTGTTAAACATATCTAAAAACCGATAAACTTTTAGGCGAAAAAGGCACTATTCCAGGCCCATTTTGTATTTTTTTTGCGATATTAGGTAAAAACAGAAGCTTCCTATCCTAGGAAAAATAAAATGGGAAATCTTTCAAAGGTGGCACACTACCTTTAAAACTGAGCTCTTGAGAGCGTTTGCCGTAATTCAGTATTTTGCATGAAAATCGGCCGACATGACGTCACTCTGACGTCATTTCCGGCCAAACTATGGTAGCTAGAAAGTTGAACTTTTAACACAAGGTGTCAAGTTGATGCCTCTGAGGGTACCGCAAGTTTCGTGTTGATCCGTCCAACGGTTTAGAAAATATTACTGAACAACGGGAGGGGGCTCTGCAGAGCCCCCCCCCCCCCCCCCACAGTCATGCGCGGGTTAATACATATTTACATTTAGACTGATGTATGTATTTGATGATTGTGTATATTTGTTTTCAGAGCGCGGAAGCGGTGGCCCCGATGTGAGGGTTCTGCCTAACAATCGGTCTCCGAAAGCTGCCACCATTCTCTACACCTTCCATTGGTCCATATTGCGCAATGGGTCGGACCAGCCGGCAAACAGTACGTGCTCTAGATATATTGGCTTCGCTTGATCTTTCTTCCCTTTACCTGTTCATGCTCTTTTGCTTATGTCTGTTTTGTCATTTTATTTATTTTGTAAAACTGTTTGCTAGGTATCCAAGAGAGAATGTAGTATGTACGAACTGCAGTACTTCCCAATGAGTTGACTGGCGCGTTCTTAACCTCACATCTTCCACCCATCGCAGGTGACACGGAGATGGGAGAGACGAAAACGGGCTCCCGCGTCATGAGCACGTCGGGTCGCTCGACGGCCGCCTCTGCTGAGGTGAGCTCTCTGTCGGCCGCCGAGGGCCGGCTGGCGCCCGACTCGCCAGCCACCTCCTCGGACACGGTGGAGCTCGATGAGCGCTCCGGCGAGATGGTGCAGGTGACGCTGGGCCACCCGTCCGGCGGCGCCGGCATCGTTTACGGGCCGCCTCCGCCCACCCTGTCCACCTTCTCCGCGGCGGCGGCGGCGGCGGCGGCCGCGCGCAGCCGGCCCACCAGTCTCGAGCGCGCCTCCAAGAGTCGCCAGCAGAGCCTGGAGCGGCGGCCCGGCTGCTCGCGCTCGCAGAGTCGCCAGTCGCACCACAGCGTCAGCTCGCAGCTGTACGGCGCCGGCGGCAGCCAGTACGGCGCGCAGGCGCACTACGAGGCCAGCTACGACCCGTTCGACGACCCGGCCGTCGAGGTCGCCATAGAGCCCGCAGGTGGGTTCCTTATGGGCCGTAGAGCCTATCGATGGATACACGGTCGCCATCATAGAACCCGCATGCAAGTTTGTTCGGGGTAACCAAAAATGGAAGAGCCTGGCTTCCACCACTGCACTCATGTTGTATGGTCTAAATTCGCTGGGGTAGATCTGACAGGCCTATAGAATAATTATTGATTTCCAAGGGTGATAATCGTTTTAAGCGGTACTGCGCACGTATAAAACAGAGCAACTTCTACCCTTAGCTCTCTCCGGCCCTATCGCTTTTATAGGGGAGGGTGGGTGCGACTACCCTTCGCCGTTCCTCCCTAATTGAGCTAGACTTTCTCGGAAAAAGTGAGTAAGTGTGCCGTTACGAGGCGTACTGATTGGTATCCAATTAATTTTTAACTCTTCACTTATGAAGGGCAGGGTGAAGTTGGATGGACTACTCCACTCGGTTTTCCTCGTATTACTCCCGTAATATCTGCGGGTTACGACGACACCGTCTCTACTCTCGGTTTAATCAGTTTTACACATACACTGACAATTTCATGAACCTGAACTAAACGACCTTTGACTTCTGACGTGTTTCTCGAGACCGTTAGGCCAGAATGGTGACTCGGCGTGTGTGGACGTAAAAACACCCTTAGAGGTAATTTTTAGCTGATTTTAAATTTGTCATTCATTTGAGCATTTTGGAAGTAGTTTGTAAGTCCTGTTGTGAAACATTCAATATGGCTAACACCTACCCAGAATAGCCGGCCTGATGGCTGACCTGACCTGAGCCTGACCTGACCTGACCTGACCTACCTCAAATAAAAATACATCGTGATTTAAAGACCGAAATCCAAAATTCAGGATCAGGGGCCGAAAATATCACAAACAAATTTCGCTGCATGAAGTACTATAAAAAGTACATATATAGCAGAAAGTACACATATGTGATTGCAGATTTGGATTTTTCGTGAGTTAGGTCACTGCCCTGACCAAGTTCAACCATTGACCTAGGACATTAATCCGCGCTGGGCTGGTGCTCGGCGCCACCCGCGTCGGGCCAGTGGTGTTTGAATTCATCTCCATGTCCGCTAATTCGGGTCTCAAAATCATGAAGAAAGGGCCTCAATAAATGTGTAGGTCAGGTCAATTGTCAGGTCACTAAAGGTCATCAAATGTCAAATTTTGCCTCTTTTAGCACTTGTTTACCAATCGGCCCATAATTAGGTAACGAATAGGAGCTACAAAGCTGCGGAAAAGCGCACCCAACAGCTATTTGAGGGCTCTTTCTAATTTACATTTTCATATTTGACCTGACGTTAGCCTTCATGTATAAAAACTGTCCAATATGAATTTTTTCGTTTTTTTTTTACTCTAAGTAAGCAGGGCACTTACTTTATAGGTATCGTGTTCCTTTCGTCGAGACGTCTAATGAACTCTAACTTGACATTAAAAGGTCATTTTTAAAATCTGACCTCAGGTCAAGCTCATGGGTGCATGTCATGGTGCATGAAGGTCATGGTGCATATTAATCGGTTTGTATCGTTGAGCTGAACACATCCAAGGTGTTTTCATTGTTCTATCATGTTCCTATCAAAAGTTATCGTCAAAACCTGCTGGAGACCTTTACTGACTTGAGATGACCTCAGGGGCATAAATAGGGGCTACTGGGTGCAATATTCAGGTTCACTAACCGCAAACTGTTGGAAAATTTTGTCAAACACTATTTGTTAGAATTATGTTTTTCAGTGGAAAAACAACTGGAGTCACTTCGTATACAACATTACCCTGTTTTAGTCTTACAAAAGTATTAACGTGTTTACAATGGTTTTCGTCCGAAAACGTCGCAGTTCAAGTTCATCCCATTGACTTATTTGGCCTGACCTTAGTTCACTGATTTCGAATATCCGAGATACACGTTTTGGAATTGGATATCATGTCACTCTTTCAATCTCTAAAAGCTTCAAAGCAGTTATTTGGTGTAAATGTTACGATCATGAAATTGTTTATGGCTGGATCATTTAACATGATCTGGTGACCTGACCTTGAGCGACCTGGGTCTGAACTTTTCGCGGCATGTGTTATAAGATGCAATTCCGCGCGGGTTAACCCGCGCCCTGGTGGGGTCTGTTTATAACGCGACCTGGTGGGGGGGGGCTATTTTTTGCCCCCCCCCCTCGTATCTCCGAAACTACTGGACGGATCCGCAAAATTCAAACGGCATTCGAAAGGCCTGTCAAATTTGTCGAGGGAAACCAAATTTCATTGACCTCGGGGTCACCAACGACGTCACAGGTCAGGTCAAAGATAAAATGTTTCACCGTTCACGGGTCTTCTAGGGAATGCGCTATAACACCGAGGAAAACGCATTTTGTCGAGAATCAGCGATAGGGCGTCAGTTGCCTAGTAGATATGTTGCTATTAGAGGTCACTGACAATACCAGGTCACGTCACAGGTCAGGTCACCAAGGGTCACAGGTCAGGTCACATGAGCCCAACTTTACTAAGGTTGTGTGATGCATGTTTTATGGCCAATTTTTCATTTCCAACTCAATGGTGTTGGTTATAAGACTATCAGGTAGGTCACTTTCTGGTGAAGTTCAGGTCAAGGTCAGGTCAAGGTCAGGCCAAAAAAGGTCAAATTTTAAAGTTGATAGTTTTGCATAAAATGGGTATTGATTCGATGCAGCTCGTCACGGGGAGTCTAATGATGGTCTTTGTTTTGCGCTACGGGGTCTAGAATTGCTAAAAATTGAGTTTGAAAATTTGACGTCATCAATTTTGAACAGTTTTTTCACTATAACTTCGCCAAAAAAAGAGGTATCAATCTCAAATTTGGTATTTGGATGGAAGGCGGTAAGGACTATCACATATATTCCGGTTTTTGCGAAATTCAAAAAACTTTTTGGATTTTTCGATCATTATATCCAAAAAATCTATTTTTTGATTTTTGGGGGTCAAAATCCAAAAATTTCAAAAATCCGAGATAGCAGTTTTGTAGGCCTGTCAATTCTACAGCTTTTATGTCCTTATCATTTTTCTGTATTTGCAAAGCTATAGGCCTGACAGCTCTTCCCGCGAAACCCTTTTTTGGGTCGAAAACGGCAGAACATGACGTCACTCTGACGTCATTTCCGGCCAACCTATCATAGCCTTTGGAAAAAAATTTTGGTCACCATGTGTAAAATTGATGTCCGGGAGGGTACTGAAAGTTTGGTGACGATCGGCGCAGCGGTTCTGGAGATATATCGAAAAGTCTGGAGGGGGGGGGGGCAAAAATAGCCCCTCCCCACCAGGTCGCGGGTTAATAAGAACGCTACATAGGAAAGCAATGAAGCCGCTTCATCTCACAGGCTCTGTGCTGCTTTTACTGATATTGGTCCCAGAATCGGATTGATAGAGAAGGATTTTATATGATCCCGCCGGCCACTTGTATTTTGCGAATGACAGATGCACTGTAGATACGGATGAACGCAATACTTCCGCATGAGATGAGGGGTCGCTGTTCGATACTATGAAAAGCTGGGTTTTGCTGATCACAACGTATTACAAAAGCATTTACTTGAGCAGCATTATTGACATGTGTCGAGCTGGCCGCCATTAAACTGATTGCGCGGTCAGCTGATGGCGATAAGGTGGCGCGGGCTCCTGTAGGTATATACCGCTCAGCTCAGCGCTGCGGGCGCAGTCCACTCGGAGGAGGAGGCCGGCTGACGCTCCGGTCTGCCCGCGGCCCAGATCGATCAACGTTCTGTCTCCGGGAGGGGTGGACGGCCCCGGCTCCGGCGGCCGCTGCACAATCATCATAGAGATGGCGCACAGACGACATAAAATGGCGCGGCAGCGCCGCCGAGAGGACAAAACAATGACATGTCTGATGGCTATCGTATGTATGGATATGGGTAAACGCAGGGGTGGCGCAAATCTGACACTATAGGTACTACTGTTTTCCGTAGGTATTATGTTCTTAATTCTGATAAATATGTATTTCATAATGAAATGTTCATCATGCGTTGAGCATTCGGTTCCTTTGTGCAGGGATTCCACACGCTCACTACAACCAATGTTTGAACCCGAATCTATTGGACTTGAGGATCGACCTTCTTTCTAAAAATAGATATATTAAAAATAATGCAAATATTGTCTGAACTTTAGATTTGTCCGAGAAACCACTAATTTTCAGATTGCACGGAAGGCGATATTACAATCAAAGCACTCAAAAGCAAGCCAGGTCGTAAATGTATTGAACTTTAACGCTTTGCCGAGACGCATCATGAGGTAACTTTTTTAGACCGCTCAAGTGTAATCAAATTAAGAAATTGGCAAGCATTAACCGTGCACCACCTGGGTTTTTCCTTACCCACGACAGCTTGTTTTTGGATCTGACCCCCCCCCCCCCCTCATCCACCCCCATCGTCGGTTGCGGGTTAAAATAATAAATTGCTCGGCAAGTGACTTCAGTTGGTCAGAAGATAGCAAATACAGTACTGATGCAGTGGTAGATTTCAGTACCACGGGTAACACAAAGCGGCTTAGCACAGCAGCGACAGCACGGATGCACAGATGCACCTATGGTCCAACAGATAATACAGTACCCCAGTCATAGTTGGTATGGATCGTACGACATCCGAGACCGACACCAATCAGCCATTCATAGCCCAGGTCCCGTCACTGATCACTCGGTGATGACACCAACTCCATCCCACCTATATCACACAACAGAGCACAATCAGCACACAAGGAGCGTCGTTCTCAGTCGGTAGACATTATCTGGCTACGGTCCAAGTGCAACACTGCATCCAAAATACCCCTTCACTTTTGCGCAGAAATCGGCATCAATACGTGCATTACGGTTCCATAAATCAGGCCGTAATCGCGGCTGCAACAGACGGTGCCTGACTCACAGGGTAATAAATGTAGCGTATTCCTGTCATATTTGCGAGCCCGGCCACTTTGCACCTTATGCACCAGCATAGGGCATTTTTCCCTTATGAACATACATACTAGCGACAATTGAACGTAAGGCATTTGACAATATTTCATTCAGATTACCGTATCATTTCTATAAGACACACGATCGCAGCCTTCGTCCATTCGATAAATTCTGAAAACGGTTTCGAGTATTTAGTACCCACTGAGGTTACCCAGGTACAGGGCTTGTCTCAGCCTGCGTGTTACCAGTAGGCATCCTTTTTCCAACACAGTTGGGAATATCTTAAAGGCTATGTTATCGGTCTCTCGGAAACCATAGCAGTTAGCACCGAGACGCGCAAAGCTTCCCGCCCCAGATTGTGCTAGCCTTTGTCTAACTGTTGCACCCGGTTAGTGGCGATTGGTGAAGGTTTATAGCTGGCCAAAAACAGAATTGCTTTTGGTTCCACAGTGGGGCGGAAAATGTGTTTAATGTTTGGCCCAATTGAAAGAATTGAGCATTGCGTTTCCCAGTACTGCGTTTATCGATCGATTGATAACATAGCCATTCGATTTACTCTCTGTTTTATCGAGGAAAAAACAGTTAGGTACCACGCAGTGAGAGGACCATGCACGTGGCCGTCCGGCGTTTACGAACTGACAGCGTTGGCTCCCCTCCCCGCTACCGCTATGGGGGAGGGGGCGGAGGTAGAGGGAGAGAGTCCGTCGTTCGGCTGTGACCCAGCCAGGCTCTGCCCCAAAGGCATAGGGAAGGGCAGGTCACTGGGTGCAGTCGCCGGGTTACTACCGGGGAGGGGGAGCGCGCCGAGCTGGCACCGATCTGCGCCGAGAGAGAGAGAGAGAGAGAGAGAGAGAGAGAGAGAGAGAGAGAGAGAGAGAGCCAGGGGGATTGAAGAAGAGAGAGAAAGATGGAGAGAGAGAGGATTGAAGGAGAGAGAGAGGTGTAAATAGAGAGGACGAGATAAAGAGAGAAAGTGAGTGATAATTGGTAATTGGAGAGAAAATGGAGAGAGGGGATAGAAATAGACAGGAAAAATATAACAAGATAGTTGGAAGGAAGAAGCACTTAAACCCACACCAGTCTGTGTTCCAGGCGCCTACCTGAGCCGATCGGAGAGCCACGCAAGCCACGCCAGCCACGCGAGCCACGCCAGCCACGCCACGTGTCCTCCAGAGGCGCTGGCCGGACCGCACCACAGCCACTCCAGCCAACGGGACGAGAGTGGCCGGCCAAAGCCGCCCGCCACCTTCAAGGTTAGCGCTCGGCGCACTGCTGATTCACAGAGGGACACTGCGGTAGTGTGTGACGTACCGCTACACACAATACTCACCGTCTCTACGGATCTGGGATGGGTTAGAAAAATTGCGGCCGCCGGCCACGCATGATATTGAACATATGATAGGCTTGGACGTTTTGTGGTAACTAACACTTTTATCATTGCTTAATAACATAAAATCAGCTACAACAAAGCGCTGTAATTGAAAAAGCAGACCTTGGTACGGAGCATGGGTGGGCTTAAAATCCACGTGTAAGTTACGCCTGAACTACCGTTCCTTATTACATAAATTATGTTGTGAAGTATGTACATGTATGAAGAAAAAAAATTATATCAGAAATAAACATCTGTCTTCGCGCTTAGCTATCCACGCCGCTTTGATTTTGGCCTGACATGACCTGGTAGGCTACAGCCCCGTTGTTGACCGGAGCCTCTGTCACGTTCAGGACGATCTGAAGCGAGCCCCCATAGAGGGTGCCAGCGGCACGGACCAGGGCTACACGGCAGATGACGAGTACGAGGAGAGGACCGTCAAACAGCTGCTCAGAAGGTGGGTGTGGGAAGGCGTTCAAAGGCACAACCAGACGGGACCGATGGGGTGCGACAGTGTCTCCGAGGCTACGACTATGTTAGCATTTCCTTACCAATTCCTCATCTTATCTCTGCATGCGTGCGTGCTCCTTCGTCTTTCCCGCCCCGTCCGGTCCCGTCCGGTCCCCATCCTGCCTCCGTCCCGTCTCAGTCCCGTCTCCATCCCGTCTCCGTCCCGTCTCCGTCCCGTCTCCGTCCCGTCTCCGTCCCGTCCGGTCCCCATCCTGCCTCCGTCCCGTCTCAGTCCCGTCTCCATCCCGTCTCCGTCCCGTCTCCGTCCCGTCTCCGTCCCGTCTCCGTCCCGTCCGGTCCCCATCCTGCCTCCATCCCGTCTCCGTCCCGTCTCAGTCCCGTCCCGTCTCCGTCTCGTCTCCGTCCCGTCTCCGTCCTATCTCCGCCCAGCCTCCTCTCCGTCTCCGTCCCGTCTCAGTCCCGTCTCCATCCCGTCTCCGTCCCGTCTCCGTCCCGTCTCCGTCCCGTCTCCGTCCCGTCTCCGTCCCGTCCCGTCTCCGTCTCGTCTCCGTCCCGTCTCCGTCGTCCGACCCACAGAGCAGATGATATGAGGGCCCACCCACTGCGCGACTCCCTTACGACGGAGCTCAGCCAGCGCGGCATTATTGCATTCCGCTCTCCCTGCGAGGCATGGCATATCGGCGTGTCATAGCGGCGCCAGACGACAGACAAACAGACACGCATACACACACAGCGCCACTGCTGCACTAATAAAACGCAGTTCACACATGACCGTCAGTCTGTCGGTGTCGGGCCCGTCACCGTCGACCTGACGGCCTGCAGCCCGTCAAACGAGAGTTGGGATTTGGTAGCTCCCATTGGCTGCCATATATTGTGACAGAAATGGCGCACCATTTTCGAGATGGACGCAGATGGGGGAAGGGGATGGGGGAGGGTAGAGGCCGAGAAGTTAAAAAATATTCTTTGAATTACAGAAATAAAATACCACGCTTTTACATTTTTATGTCAAATAATGCTGCAATTTTATTTTAATGAAAGACACATCGGTTCGCTAACTTAAATCAGGGAGCGAATCTCAAGATATCGTGCCGTAATAAACACTTCAATCTCCACAAATGGATAGAAAATGATATAAAATATCTTTAAAATGCATTTAACCCGGCCGGGCCCGGGGGGTAATTCCAACCACCGCAGCCCGGGGGGGGGCGTTTTTCGCCCCCCCTGTCTAACTCCGTAAATAAGGGAGCTAGGGAAACAAAAGCGACACCAAACGAAAGGTCCTTACGAGACGATTCTAAAGCATCCAAAATTTTTGACCTCAGGTCAATTTTCAAGGTCAGAGGTCAAGGTCAAAGGGAAAAACCGGCACATGTGTAGTGACCTCAAAGCAAGCGTTCTAGAGGACGGCAGGATACATAAAACCGGCAAAATTGGGTGTCCAACGAAAGAAGAGAATCTAAAGATTCCGAAAATGTGCTCAACATCAAAGGTCAAGGTCAAGGTCATGCTCAAAATTGACCTCAAACTTTGCACTTTTTCGTACATCTTGCGTGCTAACTTCCAAGATGTTTTGAAATGTTTTGAGGCTTATCAGGTCCCTATTTGTGGTTCATCTTACGATACAAGGCTGCTCAAAGGTCAAGGTCACAGAAGAGTATCCTTGCTAGAGGCTATTTCACTTATTCAAGTTAGTAGTCATAAATAAGACAATTTGGCCATCCGGGGGCTCTAAATGAAGGCTTAGAGGAAAATAGATGCCAGATTCGTGATCAGCGGGTACGAATCCATCATAAACGACCTTTCATGTGTCAAGGTCAACCAAAGGTCATTCGAGGTCACATGAGGTCAACATAAAATTTGACCTTTTCCAAACAAAATATATATCATTCGACGCGGCTTGACGAGGCGAATACGATGGTACCACTGCCGTAGCTCTAGGACCATTTTTGCCAAAGTTATTTGCGAAAAACTAAAACCACATTTCGGGGTCGTTGACCTGACCCCTGACCTCAGGTCACCAAAACTATTTTTATATTTTTCTCTAGGTCAAACGCTACACAACCGTGCTCGTAATTTGTCTTTATCTCTAAAACTCTATTTTTAGCAGCTATTTGAAGTTCGCGTCTGTGACGCCGAAGTTTGCCGTGCAGGGGTCTAGAAAAATCGACCCTGTGACGTCATCAAGAGGGCTAGGTCCAAATTTTTTACTTCAGAAGATGTCAAATTGATGGGAGAAAAGGTACTGAAAGTTTCGTTTTCCTATCCCTAAGCGTTTGGGAGCTATCGCAAATATTCGCCAGGGGGGGCGAAAAACGCCCCCCCCCCCGGGCCCGCGAGGGTTAAGCTTCATGCTGCATGATTACGTTCCTTTTCCTCTTCCTCCAACACGCAGACATTCAAACCGACGGGCCCGTCACCGTCAAAAGTTGAACATTGCTGAACTTTCCAAAGCGACGGCCGTCAGGTCCGGCGCCGGCGCAATCAGCTGTTGCCGGCCGTCAAACGCTGCCGGTTCACACATGCCCGTCGACCTGACGGCCGTCGCTCCGTCGGTTTCGGCCGTTTTGACGGTGTCGGGCCCGTCACCGGCAGACCTTACGGGCAAGTGTGAACTGCGTTTAACACATACCGACCGATCATGGCGTATGCATTATCAGGAGCGTTCTGTTAGGTAGGATCTAACTCGTATCCCTGGCTCTCTCCTAAGCTGTGACTCCACTTATGATGAGAATTTGGGTCATCACAACTTTTACATAACCTCCCCGCCCAGTCATTGGCAAGCATATAAACCCCAATTTTATATCGGGATCGGTCCTTCTATCGCACCTTCAATATTTACTCGGTAGACATTTTTCGCCTTTCTTGTCTATAGATGTCCAATGAGCCGTCAGCATATCGAGCTGCCCCAGTTCCTACTAACCTGAGCCCAGCCCTACAGCTCCGAGTGCCCTACCCGCAGCGGCAGCGACCGAGATAACTGAGACAGAACGCGGAGGACTTGCCGCGCTCAGCGCAGGCCATCAGTCAGAGTCTATTAACGAGACACAGCGCATATGCCCGTAACGAAATTCCCAGAAAACGAGCCGCAGGAGGACGCAATAATATCGCTGATGACGGTGATGACCATGGTCATCTTCGGGGAAAGAGAGAGAGAGAGAGAGAGAGAGAGAGAGAGAGAGAGAGAGAGAGAGAGAGGAGGAGGAGGAAGAGAAAGGATGGGAGAGACGATGACATGAAGATAGATGAACACGTTGAAAGATGATTAGGCATTAGCCAGTCAGGCAGTAACAATTTAACAGACCGTCATGCGTTATATGTAGATTACATAGCGATGCACGGAATTATCAAGGACGTGTTTCGTCACGGTAGCCCGGCAAATAATATGCCCCATCGAATTCCTATGACTTGCTAGGCATGGCGATATTATATTTTGACGCTTTTTTTCCGTTGTTCCAGAGCTCCAAGTGGTGATTTCAGGTTAGTTCTGATTCATGTGTCGGTAAATGGTGCATTACATATTTGCCACATTTCGCAAATGCTTATATTGCGGATGTTGACGTTCAAGTGCCTTTCAGATCTTATGTCGATTTCTCTTGTAAACAAATTATGCTAACCGTCACTTTTAACTAAAAGAGCGGTCTGTCGTCTGTATGCTAGTCAAGATACCGTCCCTGAAATTCTCTCTGCGTCAACATATCTACAGCGTCTACTGACTGCTGTTTCAGCACGGGTCAGAAGGGCGGCAGCACCCTGTCTCGCCGCATGTCGGCCAAGCTGGACGGCCTGTCGGACGACCGCTACATGGACACCAACGAGACGCTGCTGGTCATCCGCTCCCAGCTGCACAGCCTCACAAAGTCGATGGAGTCGTGTCAGAGCGAGGTGGGTGGAGAGGGGAGAAGAGAAGGAGAGGGAGAGAGAGGGAGGGGAAGGGGAGATAGAGCGAGGAGAGAGGAGAGAAGAAAAGGTGAGGGAGAGGCGTGGCCAGCGAGGGTGAAAGAGAAATAGGAGGGAAACAGGAAGAGATGTATTCGGAAGAGGTGGATGGGTGATCTGGCGACGCTTCCTTATCGGAGAGAGCAGAATCGTGTAGAGGTTTTTGTTGTTTTTTTTTCGACCGTGCTGCTACCACTTAGGAGACATGGGAAATAATGGATTACATAGACTAACGAGAGGTGGGCTACATGAATTATTGAAATAATCGAAATGCTGCTGCTTCGGGGGAGAGCTTATGTATGGAAACGTGTTGGAAGATAAACATATTGTCAGTGATGGTCAAATGTATGGTCAGCGATGAAACCCGATTAGCTGTTTGTTTGTGTTTGTCCGACGTCCCGATGGTGTACATAAGTGTGTTTGTCTGAAGCCCTGTTTTACTTGTTTCACTGTGTTTGATGACACACCAGCGTTTTTTTTTTTTCGCGACGTCCCTCAGGTGACCGAGGTTCGGAAAGACGTGCACATGATCCACCACGAGATCGACCAGCTGCAATCTGCCAAGGACGAGATGCTGGACCTGCGGGACTCGGTGGTGCGCCTGGAGCAGCAGCAGCGCCGCAGGAAAGCGCGCTCCATCGACCAGGTGAGGTCGCGACCGGTGCTCCGAGTGAGAGGAAAGATAGGGATAGGTAGTGTAAAATATGGGGGCTAATATGGAGGCTGTGCTACGGCTGTCTCAAAGGAGGATGAGGCAGGACGGAGGGACGGTGTGATGTGGTCTACAATTTAGTGAACAGCTGCAACGGAAAAAAAACAGACAAGGAATTATATATTGCGTAGCTATTTTGTATTGCTATGTTATAGCTATTTTGTATTCCTATTTTGAACTCCCATATTATTTTTTTTTTTTTGTATTCGGGCAGAAATTACTGACTGTAGAACTGAGTGTTCCGGAAAGAAGTAAAATTGTTGTGTGTAAGTTCCGAGGTCCCTGCCTGGCTGCTACCCGGCCCGGGGTTCTCTCGGCTCGTTAGAGCCGCTCGCGGCAGTCGGTAGGCTGGCGCTCTTGGCACCCGACGGTGGCTGTCGGATTACATCGCCGTACGCAGAGCTGGTCCTCGATGGAGCGGCTCCGACTCCCCCTCTCCTCGCTCCCTCTCCGCCCCCCCCCCCCACCACCACCGACCGCCTCCGGGGCTACGCTAATCCGACAGTGGGGACAACGAGGGAGATGTCTGTCGGTCTGTCGGTGTGTGTGTCGTCTAAGTGCTTTGAGGGTCGCTACGGATTTTAGGTCGACTGAATTCGTAGAATGGAAGGAGGTCAGGGTCACTAACGTATGTATGAAATATCGTGTTTTGTAAATAACGGAGGCCGAGCGGGGGCACAGCGGAAAGATGCGATAAATGGTTTGGTAATGAAACGATTAGCGCACGGGTGAATTAGCCGTTTGGAAATATTGGTAATGCTGCAATGCAGTAGAGGGAAATTCCCATCAGCGATTGATGTTAAGGAGCGTTTTCACTCGAGACGTTTTTAGGAAATGACTGAGTTAACCGTTTCATTGGTTCTAAAAGGAAGTTTTTTCTCTTCATCTAAACATCGGTGCTTTGTTATCCAAATATCGGTTCCTCGATAGAAATGCTTCGAGGTAATCCTCGTCCCATCTGACGTACTTTCTGCTGTTTTCCAGGGTCTGACGTGTTTCCTGGTGTCGGCCATCTTTTCGGCGGTGCTGGGGATGTTTCAGTTCGGCTACAACACGGGAGTCATCAACGCGCCCCAACAGGTCAGACCTTCCATCCTTATCGACATCAATTCACGGGTGGATTAGAAGACATCGTCGCATAATGATAGTTTTGGATAAATGTGTCAACATATAAAGAGACAAGCAACACTCGTAAGATAATCAAAATGACGAAATCTCACAGTTTGTGGAATTTCCATTATTTTGTAACCATCGCTGATATATTAATGGTATAGCTGATGGTAATGCATATTATGAGGGAATGAAAGAACGTTCCCATGCTCTGCAATTGTAATGGTCTCACGCTTCTTAGTTCCTGCTGTTTCTTTGTCACTGACCCTGTCCTCCCCTGCGCAGATAATCGAGGACTTTATCGCGTCGGTGTGGCTGTCGCGCTACGAGACGGAGATCGCTCCGACGACGCTCGACTTTATCTGGTCGGTGGCCGTGTCGATATTCGCCATCGGCGGCATGGTGGGCGGCTTCTCGGGCGGCTACATCGCCGACAGATTCGGCAGGTCAGCACAGTCGGCAGCACTGATGAGTTGTGTAGGCACATGTGTTCGCCTTTTGTCTGTGGTATGTGCCGGTGATGGCTTCCTTAACGTAACGTATCTTGCAATCGAGAAATCTGGATGTTTGCGGTAAAAGTTAAACATTTGGCTTCACAGTTGTCCTGCAATCCGGAGACTTGGGCCCCACCATGAAAATCATTGCGCTTGTTGAACGATTTAGCTTACTTATCAGCCAATTATGTTACTCGTGATCTATTGCATTGTTTGGATTTTACAGAAAAGGGGGTCTGATTTTCAACGACTTTGTGGGCCTGGCGGGGGCGACGCTGATGGGTCTGAGTCAGATCTCCTCCTCGTTCGAGATGCTCATCATTGGACGGCTCGTCATCGGATACAACTGTGGTACGTAAAAATCCACACGGAATAATTGTAAAGAGTACAACTGCAATATGTCCCAAGCACAAATCTCCATTGATATATAGCCGCGGTTCATTCAAATATTATGCTTGCAAAATAAAAATTGACTCGGAAGGGGACACAAAGCGGCATGAACGATGGAAAAAGTCCTCTACAGATGTAATGCCTGACTTTTGTTGCCGTGCTTAGGTGCGACCCGTGCTTCACAATCGTACGTTGTCGTGTGCTCAGAAGTCAGAGGTCCGGTGCCCAGGTATGTGTCTCAGACGTCTGAGATCACTCCAGTGAACCCAATGTGTTCTCACACCTCACACTTCACAGGTCTGAGTACATCTTTGGTCCCGATGTATGTGAGATGTCCGAGATCGCCCATTGAACCATCTTGCTTTCACAGGTCTGAGCACATCTCTGGTGCCCATGTATGTATCCGAGATCGCCCCAGTTAACCTGCGCGGCGGCGTGGGCATTGTGAACCAGCTGGCGGTTACCATCGGCCTCCTGTTGTCACAGGTAAGTACGGTAATAGATGACGCCCGTGTGATTACTGGTCATTACGTGACCTTCTGATTAAATAATAAAACACGTGATTAGTCTAATCATTATAGTAAATGTGTGGGTTTTTACTTTTTAGGGGTTAGAGGCGAATCAACGGCGATATAATTCTCATTATGCGCTCATTTATGTAGATGTGTGCCTATCAATGCAAACACAAATATTAGTAAGAGTAACGACGTAATGCATCATGAGAAAACGATGATTTCGTGGTTAATCACGCCGTGGTCGTTCTGCATTGACCCACCTAACGGTCTGTTTCCCACACAGGTGCTGGGCCTGGACCAGTTGTTAGGCACCGAGGAAGGATGGCCTCTGCTGCTCGGTGAGTCTGATACAACCCATGGACGTGATTACAGCAGTGCGGTGCTGTTAATTAGACGAAAGTGCAAACATTGACGTGTTTTATCAATGCTGCAGTATAGGATGAAGCATTACGGACCGTTTAGCCGCCTCAGTGAAAAATAGAGCGGTAAGGTCACAACTGCGCTCCATAAAGCAGATAGGCATAACATTTCATTGGTAAATGTCGTTGCTTGTTTACGGCTAAATGTTACAGTAGGCGGAGCTCCCTACATTCAAATCCATGCATTGTAACTCCTTGCCCGTGTTCTGACCCTCGCAGGTCTGGCAGTGTGTCCGGCTGCACTACAGCTGCTACTGTTGCCCATGTGTCCCGAGTCACCGCGGTATCTTCTCATTACCAGACAACGAGAACAAGAGGCCAGGAAAGGTACAGTGGGTCTATTTAAGATCTCCAGAGCCACCACGTGGCGCTACGGTCGGGGTAGGGCGAGTCCAAATCCGGAGGGAAGTGAGGTCACCGGTCATTGTGGGGGAAGGAGGGAGGGGGAGTGACGCGGTATCACGGCGCATGGGGCGTGCGTAGCGCCGGGAGTGGGCCGCCCGCCACTGCGCCGAGGCTGAGGGGAGGGGATGATGGTTGCGAGTGCGTTCACTCCGGTATGGTGGTATCCTGTTCATGTGGAACCAGCAAGAATGCGACTGAAGGGAATCATTATCTCAAACAAACGGACAAGCGAGAGGCAGCGCCAGTTCCAGCCAAAATCTTGAACAATGATAATTGAAATCTAGGACGTATTAAAAGCATGCAACTATTCAGTCGATAGTTGCATGATGACAGTCTTAGGCTTTTCTAAAATGTTATTTGAGTTGGGTATTTTTTCATTTGGCACGTTCAGTTTTGATGAGTTTATCGGGTCGAAAAGAATCCGAAAAGAAAGAGTTAAAATTGCTCCAGAAAAATGACCAAAAAATATTTTCTTAAAAATGAAACTAAGCTAGACATTTATAAGCGAAAATTTTGACTTTTTTAGAGGATTTTGGGGAAAGATGTTGGCGAAAGATGTCATCGTGCTTGTCTGTGTTGCAGTAGAAGAAAAGGTTTTGGTTCGTGTCCAGATAAAACCAGACCCGGGAGTGGGGCTCGAACTCACGACATCGCGTTCAGCTCGCAGGTGCCCCAACCTAAACGCTACGAGCACCTATCGCCCTGCGCAGCTTGCTCAGTGCTACGGCTATAGTTCGGCCAAAGTGTCTGACGTCTGTCAATGTCACGAGGCGAAGCCCCTAGGCAAATGTCCGTCCCGGTAGCTCGGTCGGTAGGGCTTTGGACTCCGTGTGGTGAGAGCGCACGTCCCGGTTGCAAAAGTCCGGGTTCGAAACACGACGTGTGCTTGACGTTTTTGAGCTCCTGACGGGTATGCTTGTGGTTGGTGGCAGGCCGCTGCCAGGCGAAGTCAGTGAGGGGATCGGCCGTGCGCGGCTTTGTGCGCACGTTAACCCTCGCACGACCAGGCCATTTCTCATAACACGAACGACCAGGGGGGGGGGGGGTTGTTACGACCCCCCCCCCTGGCGTTTCGAAACGGAAGGTCGTAGAGCTTATCGGAAAAAAACCAACGGATTGCTCTCAACGAGATCTCGCGATTGGTGGTATATTTTTTGGTCCTAGGTCAACATTTGACCTACTTTTGACCGGTCAAAGGTCAAATTTTCGGAAAAATAGACTTTTTTTCAACTTTCGGCGGCGATTGCGGCAAAACGGTGGGAGATATCGACTTGAAACCTTCACTATCGTGTTCCTTGATCAATTCTCTATCGTTTGGTATGTATTTCGTTTCCCTAGCTCTAAAAATGGCGCGTTGGGAGCGCCGGAAGTCGGCAAGGTCACAGTCGGCGGCAGAAATTCGAAAAATCAAAATTTAAATTTTTGAAATCTGATTGTATTTTTGGATTTGGGAGGTCCATTTGCTCCCTATAGAAGCTAATATTGCTGCATATTCCCATTGAGGTGACAAGAATTAGCAAAATAGTGGTTCGGGCGCTTTTCAAAAATAGTACCGGACGCTGTTCCTCTTGTGACGTCATAGCTCCGTGACCTGACCTGACCCGGTCAAATTTCTTATACCATATGATAGCCAATACTTGCCCCAACATGCATGGGAAGTTTCATCACGATCTATCAACCGATGTCCGTACCACCGGCAGGAAACCTCGGGCGTTGGCACTCAGTTTGTGAAAATCCGGCCGGAGGCTGTACCTCTTATGACGTCATAACTCCGTGACCTGACATGACCCGATCAATTTTTTTTCGGCAAAAGATGCGCAAAGGTTGCCCCAGAGGGCATTGAAAATTTCAGCCCGCTACGACAAGCCGTTTAGCGTGCACTTTGAAAAAACCTCAGGGGGGGTTGATACAACCCCCCCCCCCCCTAGGCGTTCTAGGGTTAAACTTTGGACTCTGAATTCTGCCATAGACCAGGAATTGCTTGATCGGAGGGTAGAGGGTAGGGTCAACGCAACTAGCTCAGCTTAGCGGGGACTCTTTCCTTATGATTCCTTTCATTCAAAAGGTTCGGGCCAAATATATATTAAAAAAGGGGGAGCCGAACCATGTTGGGTCGGGTTGAACCCGGAATTGGACCTGTGTCTTACACGCAATCATGGTCAGATAAAACAGAGGCCAATTTCGGGTCAAATATTTTTATTAACTGATCTTGTTGTTTTTTAGCTTACACGTATAATAACTTTAAGCTTTTTTTTAATCGAGACTTTATGCACAAAAATGTGGCATTCGTCCGCTTTTCCTCATCTCCTCTCAGCGACTTGATTTGACCTTAACTCTTACCAGCAAAAAATAAATCACCTGCGTGATAATTATTTGCCCAAGGGCGCTCTACGGAAGAAACGCCAGCCGGTCAAAAAATTGGCGAACGATACGATATTTCTAGTGCTTGAATTATATTCAATGAAAATTTCAGGAGACATAAATAATATTAATCCTTCGGGCGCTCGGAGCATTCGCTAGCATTCCATTGCCAGCTGCATTACCAATATCATATTTGCATTACTTTGGGTCATAGATAACATGAACTACCTGGATTGGACACTCGTTTTTGGCGCGAAAAATAAGAGGCCACTTTGGCCTCTTATTTTTAATGACGGATTTTTAGTCAGTATTTTGAGAGGCTGATATCTCAGCAACCGCTGGGCCGATTCGCCTGCGGTCTTTTTTGTTGGGTAGCTCCATCCTTTCTGCCCCGCAATTCACTTATCGTGATGCATTCAGGTGACCGTCGTGGCACGTGGCACGTGAAAAGTCGGGATGTTCAAGTCGCTCTGCTGGAGTAACAATTTTGAGAGGCCTATATCTCAGTAACCACTGGGGCGATTGACTTGCGGTAACTTTTGTAGAGTAGCTGTATCCCTTCTAACAAACATTGGATACTCTTGGTGCACGTGAGTGACCCCCGCTGCACGTGCAAAGTGCAAAAAACAGAAGAGGTGTTCAATTTGTTCCCATTACAGTAATTTAGCAACTACTGGGGCGATTTCGCTGAGACTTGGCATTCATGTAGGCAGTAGGCACCCACCGGGCAATGCATATCCGTATGTCATGGTTGGGGTGCTATTGCACGTGCGCACGTGCAGGGGTCGCTTCCAGATCTCGAGAACGGCTGGACCGATTGCGCTCAAATTTGGTACGCGATTAGAGACCGGTGAGAAGGGTGCCGTGCAAAAGTCAGTTGGGACCCATATGGCACGTGCGCACGTGCAGGGTGCCGCTTCCAGATCTCGAAAACGGCTGGGCCGACTGCGCTCAAATTTGGCACCTCGCAAGAGACCAGTAAGTAGAGTGCCGTGCACCGGGTAGGTTGTAGCTCTGCGCGTGCTCACGTGCTCACGTGCACACCCGTCTGTCATATCTCAGGAACGGAGTGACCGATTGCAATGAAATTTGGTGTGTGATTGGATGCTGGATGTGTATGAGTTTTTCTAAGTCGATGTAGGTGAGGTAATGCACGTGCGCACGTGCAGGTGTCGCCTCCAGATCTCGAGAACGGCTGGACCGATTGCGCTCAAATTTGTCACACAATTAGAGACCGTCGAGAAGGGTGCCTTGCGAAAGTCAGTTGGGACCCATATTGCACGTGCGCACGTGCAAGGTGCTGCTCCAACATCTGAAGAACGGCTGTGTCGATTGCAGTCATATTTGGCACATCGCAAGAGACCAATAGGTAGGGTGCCGTGCACCGAGGAGCCTGTAGATCTGCGCGTGCTCACGTGCGCACGTGCACACCCATCTGTCATATCTCAGGAACGAACGGACCGATTACAATGAAATTTTGTGTGATTGGATGCTGACCGTGTATGAGTTTTTCTAAGTCGACGAAGGTGTGATAATGCACGTGCGCACGTGCACACCGCACGCCCCATATTTACAGCTAAAACGGACAAGCCGATCTCAGTAAAAACTGGTGTGCGATTCGGAAATAACAAAGTGCATTAATTGTGTGCTCTAGCACTGAATATGCATGTGCGCAAGTACACACCCAACAGCAACAGCTTAAAAACTGGAAGGCCGATTTCGATCAAATTTGCCGTGCGATTAAGGGATAAGATGACAAAGTTAATTGACTGTGTGCATCATAATGGGTGTGAGTATGCACATATGAAGGTGCACAACCCATTTTTAGAGCTGAAAAACGGGCAGAGGCTGGTGGTGATCAGATTCGGGTCATATTAATAATAATAATAATAATAATAATAATAATAATAATAATAATAATAATAATAATCGATTGCGTAGCTCGCTCAGACTAGGGATTTCAGTTAGGTCAGGTATATACCTGACCTGAGCGTACTACCCAGCCTGAGTGAGCTACGCTATCGATTATGAACCGAATCTGATCACCACCTGCGTGCTCATTTTTCAGCTCTAAAAAATGGGTTGTGCTTATTCACACTTATTCTGATGCACACAGTCAATGCAATTTGTTGTCTTATCCCCTAATCGCACGGCAAATTTGATCGAAATCGGCCTTCCAGTTTTTAAGCTGTCAATGTTGGGTGTGCTCGTGCACGTGCGCACGTGCATTATCACACCTTCATCGACTTAGAAAAACTCATACACGGTCAGCATCCAATCACACGCCAGATTTCATTGTAATCGGTCCGTCCGTTCCTGAGATATGACAGATGGGTGCGCACGTGCGCACGTGAGCACGCGCGGAGAGCTGCAGGCTCCTCGGTGCACGGCACCCTACCAACTGGTCTCTTGCAATGTACCAAATATGATTGCAATCGACACAGTCGTTCTTCAGATGTGGGAGCGGCACCTTGCACGTGCGCACGTGCAATATGGGTCCCACCTGACTTTGGTAAGGCAACCTTCTCGCCGGCCTCTAGTCGTGTGACAAATTTGAGCGCAATCGGTCCAGCCGTTCTCGAGATCTGGAGGCGACCCGTGCACGTGCGCACGTGCATTACCTCACCTTCATCGACTTAGAAAAACTCATGCACATTCAGTATCCAATCACACACTAAATTTCATTGCAATCGGTCAGTCCGTTTCTGAGATATGACAGAGGGGTGTCACGTGAGCACGTGAGCACGCGCAGAGCTACAACCTACCCGGTGCACGGCACTCTACTTACTGGTCTCTTGCGAGGTGCCAAATTTGAGTGCAATCGGCCCAGCCGTTCTCGAGATCTGGAAGCGGCACCCTGCACGTGCGCACGTGCAATATGGGTCCCAGCTGACTTTTGCACGGCACCCTTCTCACCGGTCTCTAATCGTGTACCAAGTTTGAGCGCAATCGGTCCAGCCGTTCTCGAGATCTGGAAGCGACCCCTGCACGTGCGCACGTGCAATAGCACCCCAACCATGACATACGGATATGCATTGCCCGGTGGGTGCCTACTGCCTACATGAATGCCAAGTATCAGCGAAATCGCCCCAGTAGTTGCTGAGTTACTGTAATGGGAACACATTTAACACCTCTTCTGTTTTTTTGCACTTTGCACGTGCAGCGGGGGTCACTCACGTGCACCAAGAGTATCCAATGTTTGTTAGAAGGGATACAGCTACTTTACAAAAGTTACCGCAAGTCAATCGCCCCAGTGGTTACTGAGATATAGGCCTCTCAAAATTGTTACTCCAGCAGAACGACTTGAACACCCCGACTTTTCACGTGCCACGTGCCACGACGGTCACCTGAATGCATCACGATAAGCGAATTGCGGGGCAGAAAGGATGGAGCTACCCAACAAAAAAGAGCGCAGGCGAATCGGCCCAGCGATTGCTGAGATATCAGCCTCTCAAAAGACTGATTAAAAATCCGTCATTAAAAATAAGAGGCCAAAGTGGCCTCTTATTTTTCGCGCCAAAAACGAGTGTCCAATCGAGGTAGTTCATGTTATCTATGTTTGGGTTTATCATAGTTGACAGTAGATGAACCGGCCACAGTAAACCCATGCCTCATTATCCTTTCCTCCAAGCAGCCAAGCTCGGCCGCCCCGGCCCGGCCCACCACCGCGATATGGAACAGCACTGAAGTGCGCCATTTGCCTGCGGCAGTGCCCCACCGCGCCGGGGCTGTTTGACAGGTCACCCGCACCGTGACCTCGCCAATCGCCCCCCCCCCCCGCCCACCTCCCCATCGGGCCCAGCTCGGTATTGACCTCCCCTTGAATTTGGCATGGACTCGACTGAGGCTCAACGCCATCTAGTAACGTCTGGAGATCCTTACTAGATCCACTGTACGCAGAAAATGAAGAATGGGAAATATACCGTCTACCGATGTTGGCACCTTTGTATGGTCGCCATGTTTGCTCAACACTGGTCACCTTTCACGTGTGACCTATGTGACCCGTGACCTATGAGCATCTGACTCGTGACCGTTCTGACCTCTGACTGATGTGACCTCTGACCCGTGACCTTCACCCCGACAGCGCTGCGCCAGCTGCGGAACACGTCGCACATCGAGGACGACGTACAGGAGATGAAGGCCGAGGACCGGGCGCAGCAGTCGGAGGCGCGCATCACCATGGTGCAGCTGCTGCGCTCGCCCTCGCTGCGCGCGCCCCTCATGATCGCCATCATCATGCAGCTGTCACAGCAGCTCAGCGGCATCAACGCGGTCAGTGAAATCGAGAGGGGCACGGGCAAAGACGGGTCACCGGCTGGCTGGAGCTAGGAAATGAGTTGGTCGGGACGCGGGACCGGCTCATCACAGCGACAAGATGCCACCACCAGTGCAGTGGTTCTCTCTCGACTCGGTAGATGACGGTAGGGATAGACGCCTGAATCTAGACTGTGCCGCCGGTCTGGTAATGCCGTTTACGGAGACGAGACCGTGAGGTAAGACAACAAAAGCGCTAGATTGGACACATCTCACTTATGATTCTGCAAAAATGAAGTATTTGGATCGCTAACGGTAACATCGTCCGACGACCGACACCAAATGTACCGACGGGCGGTATTCTTAGTTACAGCTATTGCCGATAGATGGCACTAAAAGCGGACGCCTGAAGGTAGGCTGTACCGCTTGGCTCAGTCACAGTCTGTTTCAAAACGGCGTAGGGGAAAGTGGGGTAAGACGGGCACCTTAACTTTGGAGCCATTTTTCGGCCGGTTAGAAACATCATAGAAACGGGAAACTGGGTGAAAACCTTTTTCAGACATTTTACTTTCATTTGCCAGAAGATGAGACTTAGACCTGATTCAACAAATAAACTGCAGCTATTTTTGCAAAACCTTGCAAAAACCCGTCTTACCCCACCCCATGGGGTAAGACGGTCACATGGGTAGGGCAAGACGGCCAGCTTCTTTCACCGATCAGCGCAGCTCGCAACAAATGCCCGAGATTAGCCGCATTTATACAGTCGCTCGTTGGTCTCAAGTGCTTCGGAAATGGCAGTATACGAGATTCGTGCAGAAGGCGTATGCTCCTATATAGGCCCTAGTTCAGAAGCCATGTAGAACCGTTTTTCACATTCATTATTCGAGAATAAACTGTGCCGAAGGAATATTGCTAACATGTCTGTGAGTATCGGAATCGAACATATTCTTATTAGAAATGCTTCTTTTTTCCTACAGCAACAAAAATATTTTCACCATTACAGACCCATTGGGTTCATAGTTGCCCGTCTTACCCCAAACTCAATGTCAGAAGTTCAGCACGATTTTTCGCTGTGGACAATTTGATGCAGACAAAGCAAATCCGCCGTAAATGAACACTGTTGGCATATGAGTGTACCACAAGTGATTGCGAGTTTTTAACTCTATAGTGCTGTACACAAAAGCTTGCACAATACATTATGGATGTTTTCAATGAAATGAGTGTTTTAAAGAAATCAAAATAAAAGATTATCGACTGAACACAAATTCACCAGACTTGAATGGTGGTGTGTAGTGGGAAAGGCAATTCTGGTCCTAACTTTTCTTGCTCGTAGCGCTATTGGTTTGGTCTGCAGAAGGGGTGCCCGTCTTACCTACCCTGACCGTCTTACCCCACTTTCCCCTAAATATAACCTTTTACCTTTCTGGTCTCGCAATGTCGCTCGCACAAATTGTTCAGTACCGTCCAGATACCCGCTGGAAATGTCTTGCTTACTGATAAACAATGATCCGGTCGATGCGATGCTTGCCAAAACTTTGCAATAAACTTTTCTTCTCTCTGTTGATTCAAATATCAATACCTACAAATGATATTCGACAGTTTTTCTTTGATAATTATCGAAAAGGTGAAAATAAAAATCACTGTATTTGATGGTTGTGTAAGATTACAGGCTCCAATACCATATAAGTAATTTATCTGAAAGTGATTCTCCGTGTTATCATCGGTAAAATTTGACGTCACAACAAACCCGATCATTTTGAATGGCAAAAAGATCTCTTCATGCATATCTTATTTTTCCCTCCGCCCTCCTCAGGTGTTCTACTACTCGACCAACATATTCAGCGACGCTCAGTTGTCGCTGCAGAAGGCCAAGTACGCCACCATGGGCGTCGGCGTGGTGATGGTGCTGATGACAATCGTCTCGATCGCGCTGATCGAGCGCGAGGGCCGGCGCACGCTGCACCTCTGGGGCCTGGGCGGCATGTTCTTCTTCTCCGTGTTCATCACCATCTCGTTCCTGGTGAAGCAGATGATCTCGTGGATCGCCTACCTGGCCGTCATCTCCACGTTCGGCTTCGTCATCTTCTTCGCCGTGGGGCCCGGCTCCATTCCGTGGATGATCACCGCCGAGCTCTTCTCTCAGGGTGAGCCGAAACGGCATGCTCGTCCACTTTGTAGCGTATCAATCATATATGCTTGGTTCTGGTTTAACCCTCGCATGTGTGCGGCGTTTGCCAGCTTCTAATGTGTAGGGGGGGGGGGTCGGTTGGACCCCCCCCTTGCCGTTTGGCCCCTGATCGAGCTAGAGCTTCGCGGAAAAAAACGAGCGTGTTGCCCGTGACGAGAGGAAGCCGATGATACCCAATTTTAAGGTCCTAGGTCATTGGTTGACCTTCCAGGTCAGGTCAATGACCCAAAGTCGGGAAAATCGGGACCTGTTAGAAAGTCGTAAAGTGTGGCTGCTAAGGGGTTTTTCGGGGTGCTGATCACGAACATCGTGTTAGTTTTGATCACAGATGATGTCTTTAAGCATTTAGACCAGGTCGGGTCAGGTCAGGTCAGGTCAACCAGTATGCGTCGTGACGGGTATTCGTAGTACGTGTCAACCGCCTCTGACAGCTTCGTAACATGTTACGAAGGCACCAAAACTACTTCGTAAATGTTCAAATGGTTGCTAAATTCGAATTCAGCTCCAAAAACTAGCCTAGAAACATGTACAGCTCGAAAAAGTGAACCGAGGTCACCCGAGGTCACCAAAGGTCAATGACCTGACCTGACCTTCAGGTGACCTTGACACCCACCCTAATGCATGGAAGCAACATCAAATCACATGTTTAAACGTTTGAAACCACGAAAAGCTTCCAAACACGCGGCTAATACGAGCTGACATACGCAGAATCGCGATTCCGGCCAAACATGGTCTCGGAAAAGAGGTCACAGGTCAAAGGTCATTTGGGTCAGGGTCATGAAATTTTCAGGGTAGGTGTAAAATTGATCAATGTGAGGGTACTGAAAGTTTCGTCGCGATCGGCCGCTTTTTACGCGGGTTATTCGCGAAAAACCATGAGGTGGGTCCATCCGACCCCCCCCCCCCCTACACATGCGAGGGTTAAATATTCGTTTTAATTTCCTGCCGGCTGGAAATCTATAACGTTATGAGGTAGAGTGATATCGACAAATCCGAGCCGTTTTGTAACAGGTTATGTGCATTGACAGGTCAGTGTCAGCAGCGTTTGACACGGGCCGCACCCATTCCCAGGACCGCGTCCGGCGGCCATGAGTATAGCTGTGCTCATCAACTGGGTGTGCAACTTCCTGGTTGGCATCGCCTTCCTCCCGCTCAAGGTGAGAGCCGGAGTGAGACGTTTGTTCTTGTACATACCTCCGTCGTATGTAATGTCCTCAAAGCTCACCACTGGCTCAGGGCTCTGGTCCGACATGACATCGTTCTTTGGATGTGATAGCGTTTGGAGATGACCTCACGAAGAGTGGCTTGGATCTTTTCAGAATCTTCTAGAAGATTACACATTTCTTCCGTTCTCCATCCTTCTCGGTGTATTTTGGATCTTCACGTTCAAAAGCGTGCCGGAAACCAAGGGGAAGACATTTGAAGAGATTTCAGGCATTTTCAGACCTTCACAACTGTACGTATTATCTTGCTGGCCCTTTTTTGCAGATTGCTGTAACGGTTTTCACTCAACACTGACAGGTGTTTGAAGTAACACGCGGATGCACTTCATCATTAACAGCATTGTGTGATAAACTTTATTTATGCATCGTGAAGTCGAACGTTTGTAATAGTTTTTAACCGACCTAACACTTACTGACTACCCGTTGGTCAGCTTTGTCACTTGAACACACGATTTGTGTATCGACTGTATATGTGACCGACCCTGTTTGTGTGTGTGTGTCGGTGCCAGGCTGGCCGGCGGCTCGGAGCCTATGCTGGAAGACCACAACTATGGGTATGTAGCGCTGTGAGCACAGTGGTCACAGGGCACGCATCCATTCAACTCTGACCGACTCGTCACGTCATTCTTGTCGTTCGTGACATTTTTTTCTGTCAAGTATAGCAACATCTTCGTCTGTCATATTTCGACCGTTCCCCTCGACCAAAACAGCGCTCTACATCAAGTCAGGTAGTCGCACATTTGCACTCTAAGTTGGACTAGGAACATTCGGATGTTCAACGGCAATTTTGAAGGTCCATGCCTGATCATTACGGCCTTTGCTGTGGAAACGCTTTTATGTGCGGCATAATAACGCGGGCGGCATACTTCTATGACAAAACGCTTAGATGACTGAGCTAACTTACCATAAAGTTAATGAAAAAATAAAATAAAGTGTTTAAGCAAGCCACTGGATATTTTGCACATTCTACTCAGTCCCACCAAATGTGTGAGCAGGGTAAATACGCGACATTTCTGTCCCCGAGGTGGGCGGCTGAGCGGTGACGGTTGCCCGTTTCAGGAGCACAGTGAACTGTTTGAACGCTGTTGTGTACGACGAGCACCCGATGCTCGAGGCGGCCAGGTTCCACGGACAATGTAAGCGGCCCGACAGCGCTGCTCGCTGCTGCTCCGAACACCCGACGCCGGCCCCTCTCTGTTAGTCGTCTGTCTGTCTGTCTGCCTGTATGTCTGTCATCTCTGCGCGCGCTCTCTTCCCTCTCTTTCCACTTGTCTGTCGATCCTATTTCCATTGGCAGGTCTGCTATATGTATGTTCCCTGCCCTGTCCCCGCTCTCTGCACTCCCTTTCAAAGGATGGTTCTCCGGTCCCCACCCGTGTTTCGCTAGATGCTCTCCTTTCTTGATGTTGTGGTGTTTGCTTTGTTTGGTGTGGTGCTGGATGTAGTGTAGGGCATGACGATACTCCAGAGTCCAGTTACAAAAGTCTCATTGTGTTGCTAAGAACGAGCATCTTAGAATAGGTACACTACACGTACGTACACGTATGTACTTGGATACATTATCCATGGAACGTCCTAATGGGCTTTTATGCCTTAAAATTGTCATTCATTTTTTTCCGGGTTACATGTCAGGATTACTACAAATCGGCTCAAGAGACGATCTCATTTCAACTGTCGATGCCTGGTTTATGCATGTTTACTTCTTCAAAAAGATATACTTGTTAAAAACAGGCATTTTACACATGTACATATCACAGCTCTGCAGAGCTAGAGCATGGTAATTTACATTATCTATGTAAAACCATTAGCTAAAAACTGAGAAATTCTGAGTTTGTGGAAGCAATAGACGACTTAGCGTAGGAGACCCGTTTGGATGCACGCGACACGTTTGGACACAGCAGATTGCACGTCTTACACACCACAAGCTCGATGGACCGTTTAGCCCAGCCGGTGGCCGCATCGTGCAAGTGACATGGATGTTGTTGCCGCGTTCATTGTAATGGCGTTATTCGTGCTCTGTGTAATTGATTGATGTAAGACGCCAATATCAATATTTTATTTGTTTTGCGTGTGCGTGGTGGCTTGGAGTTAGTGCGTTTCTTTCGCCGTGCGTCGTTTTAGCTCCGCCTGCAAGTTGTATCGGTTTCTGTGGAAGACCATGGCCTGACAGTCTCAAGGCTATAGAAATACGTCTACTTCAACAGCTGATCCATAGAAATAAGTCTACTTCAACAGCTGATCCGAGTTGCTGGGCGCTGGCTGCAGTTTATTTCAGCTGCGTGTGACTTTGGAGAGGTTCAGCACATTCACGAAGTGTTCCGGTTTCCAGCTCCTTAATTTGGCGCAACAATGCAGCTCGTCTCCGCTCCTGTCCGCGTCAGCTTCCATCTGTGTTTAGTGTTCACGTTATGGTCACTTCATGTCCATCCATGTAGGTATCCTGCTCGAACAGTGCACGACGAACTTCGTTGCATTTACCAACTGTTCCAGTCCCCAGCGCGCTCGTTAACGGCGTTTCACATTTCTTACAAAGCACTGTTCCAGCGGTGTTCGGCTTCATTTCAACGCCGTTCATCGCGTTCCTTCTGTATCTATTTCAGCTCAGTCTATGATCACTTTCATCATCACTACTCATTTAGCCCCTTTTTAGGCCCGTCAATGCTCATCATCAGGATTATTCTTCCAGCTCCGGAAAACTATCATTATTTGCAGGTTTCTTGGTCGCTTCATGTTTCATCGCCAGCCCACCCTGTGCCATTTATCTCTTTACGCGTGTCTCATCGCTTTCGTGACGCTGATCCCGCTGGTGTGTCCGGTTGCAGCTCCGTCTGAGCGGTCCGAGAGTGAGCCGGAGCCGACGCCGCGCTGCACCAGCCTCCACACGTCGCTGGAGCGGCCGTCCCGGTACGGCGGCGCCTCGAGCGTGGCCGGCGGCGCCACGCCCACCCTGGGGCCGCGGCTGCTCGACCGGCGCAGCCTGGACCGGCTGGAGCGGCGCAGCCTGGATCAGCTCGACCGGCTGGAGCGGCTGCAGGGCCGGCCGGCCGGCGCGCCGCTGGCATGACCGACGCCCGGTGGTGGGCCCTCGCAGGACTCTCCGCGGCCGGCGCTCAGCGACGAGCGCACCAACAGCGAGTCGGAGAGCGTCAGCGGCCACGAGGAGCTGTGGCGGCCCAACCACCTGCTGGCTAGCGACGATACCAGCTCCTGAGCGGGCGCCGCCCGCCGGCCAGCCCCGCGGCGCCGCCGGCATGCGGCGCGGCTCCGGCGCCCCGCGCGGGCCACGGGTACGGGCCGACGGGCGCCGAGAGGGCGCCGCCGCGCCCCGCAGCAGCGGCGCCCTCGCACACTCGATAATCATAAGATGATGAAGCTCAATATTTCTAGCTGGCGAGGGCTTGGGTCTAGCGATTAGAGTAGCGCTGCTGTTAGCTGTAGATAGTTCTTACGATCCTCTTTGGCCTTTCTCACCAGTGAGGGTGTTGGCGGGGACGCCAGTCCTGTCAGCAGGTTCGCTCACTACACACCAGGTCGTTCATTGTTTGACAGCCTCTCAGTGACTCGACTGATGCTAAAACAGTACTGCACTGCCCAGACACCTTTACAGAAGCTTTGTCCCAGTGATTGTGACACCATCTTCCAAATGGTTCAACGATGGAGCTCGTGGCAGCGAGGCCGTATGTTTGTGTATGTGCGTGTGTGGATGCGCGCGAGTCCGGGCGTCCCAGAGCTGCGGGCGAGATGCAATGAATACGCTTACTCTGAACAGTTGTGTTGCAGCCCTGTAGACCGCCGCCTGCTAGATATGCGATCGAGTCGACGCTATTGGATGAGTGCGATAGCTGTGTGGAGTGCTAGCGGTATCGGACTGCGGGACGATGGGTTTGACGCCGGTGTTATGGGACGGTGGGTGAGACTCGGGCGTTACGGGACGAGTAGGGTGGGACGCCGGCGTTACGGGACAGCCGCCGACGTTCTGTGATGGTCCGTTCTGTTACCGAGCGCCCCGGACAGCCGCCGGCGTTCTGTGATGGTCAGATCTGTTACCGAGCGCGCTGGTCCGGTCGTGCTGTTGTTGATCTCTCCGCCGTCGCGGCTCTGAGCCGTTCCACGCCCCGCCGCGCGCCCTGCCCCGGACTGATGCGGCGGCGCGCGGCCGGCCAATGCTTTCATCGCCCCGGCGCGGCCGTGCGTCTCCGGTGGCCGTCCCCCGCGGACTGTCAACTGTCGTGTCGTCGTGTCGCCGTGCGAGTGTGAGAGCGGGGAGTGGGTGCGTCCGGGCGGGGCGGCCGGCGGCCGGTGCTCTGAGCGCCGTCCGCCGGCCAGCAGTCAGCAGTGCCGCGCCTGTTTTTATACCGATCCCTGTGCCAACAGCGGCCGGCCGCGGCCCGCCGGGCGGGCGCTCAGCGCCGCCCCACGGGCCAGCGCACTCGATGTAGGCTTCGTCTCGAGTGTCTCTCAACGCGTGTCAGGATGTAGTGAGAACGGTACCAGTGCAATAGAAGCTCCAAACGACGCTACCGCTGACGGATTTGGAATACGGCCCGGTGCTGACACTCTTATAACGCACACCCAAATATATCATCTGATCAACCGGAGTGTGTTCAGTGTTCACCAGGAGGGGCATCCGCATATCAGTATCTGAAGGAGTCAATTTAGGCTGCCGATTAGAGACCACAGTCTGGGTGGCCCTGGCCAGTGGCCACGGGTAATTCAGGTTTTCCAACACGCATCTGAACCGATACCGACATACAGCCGCACGTCATGGCCTGTTAAGAAATTAACGTTAGCTGATGCCCTGCCAGCAGAATGGTCCTCGATTGATTCCACTACGACTAAAGAAAGATCACTCTGGAGGTCAGTGTAAACCAGATCAAAAGTCATCAGCTTCATTCAAACAGCCCTCTTTGATAGGCAAAACATGGTGTATCCGTACCAGTCCAAGAGCGTCATATGCGTCGAGAGATGTGAGGTGTGACGTTGATGACTTCTGGTGGTCTGGTATAGCAATCAATGTGTCTCTCGTCCCTGTCAGATCCATTTACCCTTCCTCCCCTCCGCCTAATAGTCAGTTCAAGTTGCCCCACCCCCATCGTCACACACACGGTCTGTCGGCGGGCAGGGTGAGATGTATTGAGCTGTCCAACTGTCGGCCCGGCCACTGCCGGCCGACCGGCTGAGATCCCCACCGCTCAGATATGTCTGCGGCACCGGGCACCGCTCACAACGCCGCCGCTGCCCACACGCGCACACACTCGTATACACACATACACCAGCCGACCCCGGAGCACGACCTACGGTAGTCTCGTCTCGTCTACTTGGCTTGTCGGACGGCCTCCAGCACACACCCTACCGTCGAGGCTGCTCTGGCCGGCCCGCCGCAGGGCAGACTGGCCGGCCCACTGGACGGTCTACCGAAACACTACCGTTAATACACACTACCAAAGGAAGAGACAGCGCGAACGAGCGAGGCGCGCCCGCGGCGAAAACCACACCACTATTAGGCGAAGAACCTTGTACATAGGTCGTATTAAAACACCCACTATTTTCCCCTCTAAAAAAGCAAAAAAGTCTGACAGTGCCCGCGGTAAAATGGCGAGCCGGCAGTCTTTGGTTTGCCATAAATAGAACTGATGATGATAGACAACAAGGCCGTGGCCGGTGTCAGCTCCGGAGCTGCGGAGCGACACGCTTATGGTTGCGCGTAACGGCGGAGCAGTCCGCCAGGCAGGTACAGACACTCCTTATCCTTGGCTTTATGCGCGGGCTGTGAGGGAGGGCAGGAAAAAACGCGCCAGCCACGGCGGTGGCGCGCCCGGGAGCACATTGTGAGAGTTCGTGAATCAAGCACTAAGGCAGGACATACCTAACCTAGCCTGTCCACTGATGTGATGAGAGCTGTCAATTTCGGCCGGCCGTCGCCCGCCCGCGGCGGACGCGCGCATGGTGCCGCCGGCGCCGCGGGACCAGTCCAGGCCGGGCGCCGGACGTTGGCAGTAAGAGCGTACACTTCCCATCTCAGGCCATGGTGTGGTGTGCGGTCCCAGTCCGTGCGCCCGACTCGGGCCGGCCCCCGGCACCGGCGCCGCCCGCCGCGAGGCAGAAAGGTCACGGGCCGGTCACGGCCGAAACGGCCCTCCGGTGAACGGTAACTGTGGCTGGGTGAATGTGGCGTGATGAGTTGGCAGGGAGGTGCAAGGTGAATTTATCAGACGCCCTCGCGCACGGACGAGGAAAAATGGCATGGGACGTTGTTTGTGGACTATGTGCCTGTGCTACGCTGAGGAGTGATTAAGAGCTCGGATGGACACTGCCGAACCCAGGCAGAGCTCTCAGAGACCCGGAAGACAGATCTGAGCGACGCGGAAACGGGGGACGGAAACCGGAGAACGGACGCGCGCGTCGCGACGAAACACACCACCCCCTGGGCCAGACCGGACCGGAGCCGACCCGGCTCGCCGTCCTGCGCGGACGCGGGCTCGCACTCGGCACACTCGCACACCCGCGCGCCGCCGGCGGGACGGCCGCGCCGGCCGCCGCCGGGAATGGCGCCTCTGTCGGCGCGGCGCCGGCGCGCGCTCACTCGCAGACGCGGCGACGGACGGCGGCGGCGCGCTCAGGCGAAGTACATGACCTGGTTGGTGTCCTGGTGGACGGTGACGGCGCGCGCCATCGCAGACGGCGTGCGGTCGTCGGAGTTGCCGGACAGGTGAGAGCCCTCGCCAGAGCACGACGAGTGGTACGTCGGGTCGCTGAAATGGAAACATAAACAGGTTAGTAGGGGATTGACCAGGGGGAGCAAAGCATGTGCCATCACGCGCTGGAAGGGATGTCACGCAGCAGCCAAGTGATTTAATAATATCCGCTTCTGCGCTGCAGCTGCTGATCATGACTCCATTGTCCGTTGACACAAAAATGTTCGAAGAAGCAGGCTGTTACCCGCTTGCAGGTCGCAAAGACAACTAAAGCATGTAATGTTGTACCGTGACATTTTGAATGAGCCACTGATCAGTCCCTCATATCAACCCCCAGCTGCACTCCTACCCAGTCCAGCTGCCGCGAAAGTGCGGTGACTGACCTGTCGTGCTCCTTCTCCACCAGGTGGTAGCGCGCCCGGAAAGCCACCAGGTGGGCGTAGTAGGCCGGCGCCGGGATGCTGACCGAGCGCGTGCAGCGCACATACGTGTGGCACAGCTGGTAGGTCAGCTGCTGCAGCTCGTCGCTGTCGAACCGGTTGTCGTCCCACAGCACGTGGTAGTGGCTCGGACGAGAGGTGCCCTGGCGGAGACAGGGAGAGAGGCGGTCAGGGTGAGTTGGTAGCTTTACTAGCCATGGGATGGAAGCATTGTGATGTTAATTGCCAATGGTGACAGATTGCAATCATACCGGAACCAAGAACAAAAACAAGATAACAATAACAAGATATAATAACTAACTATAATAATAAGATTAGATAGCAAACAAGATATAAGCACTCGTTGGTTTCCGTCCCACTCCCGAGCTCTTTACATCATGTCTAATTCCAAGGTGCCAGAACAAAATGAGATATCCATGGCTACAACGTTTGCCTAAATGGCAGCGTTAAACAGCTCACGGAACCACTCTCATACAAATCCGCCCTCACAACCCGTCAGCCGACGTATGACCGGCCACGCACCTGGATGCCCTGGTGGGAGCAGAGATAGAAGTCGAACTCTGTCGGATGGGTGATATGAGAGTCCACAGTGGTGCCGGCCGGGATGTTGCCGCTCTTGCCGCTCTGCTCCTTCTTGTCGGAGCAGAAGAGGCGCGTGTGGTGGCGCTTCTGCACCACGATGAACGTGATGCCCGGCTTGTAGTCGAGCTCCAGCTTCATGCACGCCTCACGGATGGCAGTGAGCTCGTGCTGCAGCACCAGCTGGAACTGGCCCTCGGACACGCCGTCCCGGTACATGATAATGCGGTTCGGCTTGAAGCGGGTCGACTTGAAGAACTGCACCAGCAGCTCGCGCACCATGTAGCTCAGTTCCTGAATCACCTCCTGATAACGGCACACAGAGGTTGAGTCAGACTTTAACTGCTTGCAATAAATACAGGTTTTCACAGAGATCAGCGCAGCTCATTCGAAAACCACGACCAGATCTATAGGTAGTTAACAGTCAGGATTCCAAACGATGTTCGGATAGTTTGGACCAAACGGACGCAAGTTGGGTCTGGAGTAAAAGAAGCTATAACCCAGCCGCGAGCTGCAGTGTTCGATAGTCATTTATCCAATCTAAGAGCACGAAGCTGTCTGTGCTTCAGTCGCTAGTCCCGACTACCACCAACGTTACTCGCCTGGGCCACTGGACCGTCTGCGTCTCAAGCAGACCGCACCACCCGATACCGACAATACCGGGTCACTGTAATTGACCCGTCTGTGCTGCTGGACGGACCCCACGGCCCACTGCCACTTCCGTCTGTAACCTGACTGACCTGTCTGTGCTGCTGGACGCGGACGGTGGCCGCGTACCGCGACGGGTGGCCGTCCATGGAGCCCACCACAGCCGCGATCGACGGCTTCTTGTTGTCGCCGGCCGGCGGGTGCGTCACGTCGGCGCCCAGGAAGATCACCGGCTCATTGAACACCTGCCGGAGAACGAGGGACGGTTGGGTCAGATTGGGAGACAGCCGGACATGTCGTACGGTAAGCGACCGTCAGGGAACATTACAGGACTACCACCTAAACACGAGGCCAAATGAGGCTTAAAAAAACAAAAACAAAAAATATTTGAACTCTTCACCGAAGTAGATTATTTGTAGTCCGTCGAGTGCAGCTTTTCAGCCTCGTCCGCAGCTGCGGTTGCTCTTACCTTGGGTCGGATGCTGGGCACCAGGATGCTGTTGACGCCTCCCAGCTTGACGTTGATCTTGAGGCAGAGGTTGGAGAGCGTCTGCGGCGACGTCTTGTTGACGTTCTTGGCCTGCACACACTGCGTGGCCAGTCCAAGCACCGTGTCGCCCACTCTCTTCACCTCGGCTGCAGGGGCGGAGAGAAACCGTCAGCGGGCGCAGTCGATAAAAACATACTAGGCACAGGCGGAAGCCGACACGGAATGAGCAGAGATCACGTCTGGCTGCTGCCACAACATATTGTCCTTCCGTTAAAACACTGACAGAGCAGCAATCAGAGCCAGTTGATGACAGCACGTACCGTAGACGGGCGTCTTGCCGGGCAGCACCACCACCACCAGCTGCAGGCCCTGGAAGTTGGTCTTGAGGTAGCCAAACATGGGCTGCACCTGATCAGGACCCGTGGCATACTTGCAGAAACACGGCTGCGACAGAGCGAAAAACAGGGTTCGTGACATGGCTCTGCGCGGTGTTTTCTTAGACATTTGGCCTTGGTACCGGTTAATGACCGGTGGCGGTGTTCGACCTGTTTTGTTACATAATACGCCCAAAAGTGGTTGGCGAAGGCACAAGGACGGACGAAAAACGAGGAAATTCAACCGCCCACGCGATAAAACACAAACCGGTCGCCCCACGTCTTCAGAACCGCCCTGTCTCTGTAGGTCGCCAAATCCAATATCTCGTCCCGTGCCACTGCCCACTGTCCTATAATGGGCTTGAAGGCCTTAGAGCCCCTCTCCTTTCCTCTCCCATCCACTCCTCCCTCTCTCCCCTCGCTCCTCCCTCTCTCCCTCCGTTCCGCTTTTTCCTTCCTCCTCCTCCTCCCCTCACCTGTCCGATGATGGGCATGCCGGCGTCGGTGGAGATCTTCTGGAGCTGCTGGGTGAAGTTCCGCAGCGCGTTCTCGCTCACGGTCCGCTGAGGCGCGAAACAGGCGATGGCCCAGACGCGGATCTCGACGCCGCTGTAGAACTGCTTGCCGCGCATGTCCCAGACGCCGGCGTTCGGCACCGCCTGCTGCTTAGTCTGTGGAGAGTGGTAACAGTCGGCGAGTGTCACCCCATGCCTCAATCGCCTGCTGGTAATTCGCCGGTCTCCGGATAAAATGACCATTTAAGAGTCGCTGCACGCATAACACCGTTCAGCTGGCAGGCACAACAGATAATTTGCGAATTCTGAACTAATCCCAGACATTCTGCACCCCCTGCAGACAACCGGCCGATTTCCCGTATTAAACTCACCCGTCCGCCGTACTGGAGTCTCGGCGGCGGCAGTTATACACGGTCGATACCCTCCTGTTACAACTCCCCGGTCTCCCCATCCCGAACTCACCCGTCCGCCATACTGGAGTCTCGGCGGCGGCAGCACCCGGCCGCGCACGTCCATCATCTTCTGCTCGATGTTGAGCCCGAACTCCTGGACGTACGGGTCCGTGTTGAAGTCGGCCCACACCTTCCTGATAAGCGTGTTGATCTCGCGCTCGCGGTCGGGCGCCGAGCGCGCCGTCGCCTTGATCATGGTCGAGGTCTGCATGTCGGTCAGCTTCTTGATGCAGCGCTGGCCGGCCACGATGGTGCACACCTGCGGAGAGAAACGGACGCGTGAAAGAAACGCCGTGAGCCAGATGACCGCTCGCCAGATGGTACAGGTTGGGACACTCTAGGACCTCACACAGTGCAATTTATGAGCTAGAGTTGAGCAGAAAAGCACTCCGCACCATCCAAAGACCACAAAATATTGTAGAAACACCCACCACCACCACTCAGTACTCACCTCCAGCGGCAGGTAGGTGTGTTTGTGCTCCTGGCCGACCTGCAGACAGGGCAGGTGCGGGAAGCGCAGCTTCATCCGGTACTTGTCCAGGAAGTACTTGGCCACCGTGCACTCCACCGTCTGACCATTCTCCAGCTGCAGAGGGAACGACTGCATCTGCGCCGGCCGGCGGGTGACGTTGCACACGCGGTACTTGCGCCGCATCGAGCCGCAGTGCGTGATCTCGATCTTCAGGCCGCGGATCTCCTTGGTGAACTTGACGCGCTGAGAGTCAGTGAGCGGCTTCCGCTGTTCGCTGACCTCGCGGATGTCGAGAACCTCGCACATAAAGTCCACCACCGCCTGGGACTTGTAGAAGGCCGTGGCAGACACTGGAACGGGTCAGAGGCGGCGGTCAGAGATCAGGTAGGTCGCGATGGAGGGATGGACGAGCGGCAGTCTGCGTACTGCAGCGCACATACGGCAGCGGCGACGAAGCAAATATAGGGGTGAAAGACGTGGACGTCCCATGCCAAAAGCACTTCCACCCGAAGAGCGCTAAAAAATAGATGACCGGTGCAGACATAATAAAAGACATTTTATAAGTGCTCCAGAGTTACTGAAACAGACGTCCATCCGCTCCAGTTTTTAGTCATATAGCACACGTACGGCCCTCCAGGTATTTAGTGGTGGGTTGCCAACATCACAAAAGCGATCTGCATTGATGAATACGTTTAAAGGTAGTGTGCCACCTTCCAATGATTTCCCACTTTATTTTTCCTAGGATAAGAAGCTTCTGTTTTTACCTAATATCGCAAAAAAAAAATCAAAAATGGGCCTGGAATAGTGCCTTTTTCGCCTAAAAGTTTATCGGTTTTTCGATATGTATAACAACTGTAGTGGGCTGACCTGCAAACAGGCGTCGGCAACAATCGCGAATGCGGCGCACATGTGACAATAAGCAAAGGTCATTATAGAGTTACGACGTACGGGAATGAGTTATCAGCTGTCTAATCGTAGACAACACAATGTCGAACCTTAAACTGTAAGCCTGTATTGGTATTGTTTCTTTTATTTGGCTGCCGAACATTATTTAATATTTATGGTTTGAAATATGATTTTATGTAAAATAATTGATACGAAAAAGCCGTCTCTTAAGTTATGTCTCTTAACCCTCGCATGTGTAGGGGGGGGGGGGTCGGATGGACCCCCCACCCCCCACGGTTTTTCGCGAATAACTCGCGTAAAAAGCGGCCGATCGCGACGAAACTTTCAGTACCCTCGCATTGATCAATTTGACACCTACCCTGAAAATTTCATGACCCTGACCCAAATGACCTTTGACCTGTGACCTCTTTTCCGAGACCATGTTTGGCCAGAATCGCGATTCGGCGTACGGCTCTCCAGTAAAAGTCTTGTTGGTTTTGCTTTTCCGGACATATCTGGTCCTATATAATGTTTAAATGCATAAGTATCAACCCAGATTATGTGTATGCACATTTACCACGAGACTGTGAAATTTCATCGTTGTATGCCAAATACTTTCCGAAATATCCACCAAAAACCTCATTTTCTGCCGTTTGGGGTATTCTGGCCGCAATCTTCCTGGGATCGCCTATGACATCCATGGTGCCACCTAGCGAGAGGGACGCGGAAACACAGAATCATGAATGAATCGAGCGCATAGTAAACGGTGTATGGAAGGGAGACTCGGCAGAGGCTATCCGGGTGGCCAGCGCGCGGCGCGCCCTTAGGCATCGGCCGACCCTTCGGACCGCGTGGGGCCAGAGGTCGCGCTCGGGAAGTCTCGGCTCTGGATTTTAGCGCTGTGCAGTCAGGAAGGGAGGGGAGGATAGCGCTAGCCCGACTGACTAGTATCTCGGCTGATTCGTGTTGGATGGAACGGATCACAGAACGGGATGGTGGCTAGTGGTGGATGATGGGATGGTGGTTAGGTTAGTGCGTACTGCGGAACGTAGCTGAACATGCTTTTTTCATGGCAAACAACACGCAGCATAATGTGCAGGATTATGCCAGAACTCATACAAAAAGGAACTAATATTTCGGCCGAGGGAGTGGATGAGTGCCGTGACAAAGCATGACGATGCTGCCAAAATCGGGATGCTTGTTTGCTCCCATTTTTTTAAATTAAGTTTTAACCCTAACATGCAGCGCTTGATCCGAACTTAGAGGTCCCCGACTGACCTTGGACCTTAAAATCGCACCCGTCCGGCGCGCCACCTTTTCTTCAGGGGCGCTCTTCTTGGTTGTGTCTGTTCTTACCAATAACAAAAGCAAATCGAATGTATAATAAAAAAGGCATACCTCAAACACAGTTTAATTCACATCCGCTCGTGTGCATACTTGTTTTTACCTATACCTTCTCGCATCATAATATATCACTTCAGTGCTTAACCTTCAACGGAATTTTGGGTTTTCTGCATATACCCCGGCCGAGGGGGGGGGGGGGCGATTACGACCCCTCTCCGTCTTTTTGCCTCTAATTGAGCTAGCGCCTTGCGGATAAAACTGAGCGCGTGCGTCGTATGAGATGCAGCAACTGGTACCCGAGTTGGATGTCTCAGGTCCACCGATAAACTCTGAGGTCAGTATAAGTGCTCCAAGTCGCGGGATCGGTTTTTGGTAAACAACTTCACCTTAAGTGGTTACAGAGCCAAGAGTTTTGCATGCTCAAACGCGTCGAATAGTTTACGCTTTGTTTTTGTTGAGGTCAATTTAAGGTGTTTACCTCAGGTCATGTCAGGGCAGAGCCACTCAGGCCACGAGGCTGACTCAAGGAGGTCATATCGCTTCTTCGATGCGGTAGGTCCTTACAAGTCCACTGGTGGCTTCCCGACTCGCTAGCTCAATTTGATCGGGACTTTTTGGTGAAATCTCCTGTGACCTTAGTGACGTCATAAATGAAGTCGCCTAACTTTAAGAATGGAAAAGTGAATGCTGGGGCTTGCAAAAATTTTATAAAATCGCGAATTCATGCGCTTGAGACAGCTTTAGATGGCTCCCGGCGCTAAAATAAGTTTTCATAGTTCCCAATTGATTAATAATCGTGAGGTTGCGTGACCGACCTGACTTCAGGTGACTCTTAAGAAAAATACGAGATAGCTACACACAAGTTGTGAGGCCTCTGGGAGATAGCACTAGATCATTAAGCTTCATTCCCCGTTGAAAAGTCCCCTGGCACGAAGGGTGCTGCGACGTCGCGACATTTTGGGGCCTTACAGAGGTTCACTTTTGACGCCATTGGTCAACGGCCTGACCTTAACCTTCGCACTTGTAGGAGGGTGTCGAACAGACCTCCTACCCTCAGTTTTTCGCAAATAACTCGCGCAAAAAGCGGCTGATTGCGGCGAAACTTTCAGTACCCTCGAGTTATTCAATATTACGCCTACCCTATAATTTGCATGACCCTGACTCAAAAGACCTTTGACTTGTGACCTGTTTTCCGACACCATGTTTTGCCGGAATTGCGTTTTGACGTATTTCGAGTAGAACGCGTTTTATTGTCTTTTTGTGGCTTTAAGCGATTAAACATGTGAAAGGATGTTGATCGCATGGATTCTGTGGGTATCAAGGTCACGTGAAGATCAGTCAGGTCACTGACCTTTGATGACCTTTGTTCACTCTTTCGAGTTCTACATGTTTCTAGGGTAGATTTTGGAGTTGATTTCGCATTTAGAAACCGTTTGAACATTTAAGAAGTAGTTTTGGTTCACTCGTAACATGTGACCTGACCTGACCTGACCCGACCTGGCCTAAATGCACGAAAACATCATCTGTGATCAAAACTAACTTGAATTTCGTGATCAGCACCCAGCAAAACCCTATAACAGCTTCACTTTACGAAGCTCTAACAGGTCCCGATTCCCCGACTTTTGAGCTATATTGACCTGTCAACCAATGACCTAGGACCTTAACCCACGCCGGCGCAGGCCATTTTGCGTCCTTCGACGGCACAAGGGGGTTGGTATGACCCCCCCCCCTCGCGTTTGGCCCCTGATCGAGCTAGAGCTTCGCGAAAAAAAACGAGCGTGTTGCCCATCACGAGAGGAAGCCGATGATACCCAATTTTAAGGTCCTAGGTCATCGGGTGACCTTCCAGGTCAGGTCAATGACCCAAAAACCGGGAAAATCGGGACCTGTTAGAAAGTCGTAAAGTGTGGCTGCTATGTGGTTTTCCGGGGTGCTGATCACGAATATCGTATTAGTTTTAATCAGAGATAATGTCTAAGCATTTAGACCAGGTCGGGTCAGGTCAGGTCAGGTCAGGTCAACCGGTAGGGGTTGTGACGGGTATTCGTAATACATACGTGTCAACCGCCTCTGACAGCGTAAATGTTCAAATGGTTGCTAAATTCAAATTCAGCTCCAAAAACTAGCCTAGAAGCATGTAAAACTCGAAAAAGTGAACCGAGGTCACCCGAGGTCACCAAAGGTCAATGACCTGACCTGACCTTCAGCTGACCTTGAAACCCACCCTAATGTATGGGAGCAACATCAAATCACATGTTTAAACGTTTGAAACCACGAAAAGCTTGCAAACGCGCGGCTAATGCGAGCCGACATACGCCGAATCGCGATTCCGGCCAAACATGGTCTCGGAAAAGAGGTCACAGGTCAAAGGTCATTTGGGTCAGGGTCAAAAATTTTCAGGGTAGGTGTAAAATTGATCAATGCGAGGGTACTGAAAGTTTCGCCGCGATCGGCCGCTTTTTACGCGAGTTATTCGCGAAAAACCTTAGGGGGGGGGTTGCATCAACCCCCCTGTGCCGGCGATGGTTAAAATTGGGTATCATCGGCCACTTCTCGTCACGGGCAACACGCTCTTTTTCGGCGAAGCTCTAGCTCGATTAGGGGCTGAACGGCAAAGGGGTCCAACGGACCCTCCTCCCCCTCTTTACGACAGACGCTGGCAAAACACCAATATGGGCGAGGGTGAAAATACAGCTGCTGTCATAAAAATTCAGCTTGAACCAAAGGTCAGGCTTGCCAAATTTCAGCTCTCGCAGCTATCAACAAAAATAAACTTTTGGAGGCGGCACCCGCCTCCCCCCCCCCCCCCCCCTCCTCTCGGCCAGACTGCCAGCGAGGTTGCGTATCATACATGTTACAAAGCATCATATCAAGATGACACACCCCAGCAGCCTGAACAAAAACTTTTTACCCACGCTAGTCTATCGGCACCATAGCACATGGTCGAGACTGTCGTCAGCCACGGACGCGCACTCGACCAACCCCTGAGCCCGTTGACTGCGGGTGACCTTGACATGTCTAGCCTGATCGGCGGCCGGCCGCTGTCGTGCGGTCGTTACACGCGGAGGGGAGAGAGACACAAAGTTCTACGTTATAGCTGACCTCTGACCTTTCCCTGCGCCCTGGTCACCGACCCCGCTCCATGTCGCTGGGCGGTGGCATGGCGGTGGAAACCGGTTCTAGCCTCTACACATGCCACCATTCTAACCCTCCCCTCCCCACGCTACTACGCGGCGTGGAGTACGCTCGTGCGTAACTGGGCGGAGCAAGGGGTCACGCGATACAGGGGCGGAACTGGTTGCCCTCCCGCTCGCCGAGCGACCAACGACTAATACCCTGGAGAACCGTACGTCGGCTCGCATTAGCCGCGCGTTTGCAAGCTTTTCGTGGTTTCAAACGTTCAAACATGTGATTTGATGTTGCTCCCATGCATTATGGTGGGTGTCAAGGTCACCTGAAGGTCAGGTCAGGTCATTGACCTTTGGTGACCTCGGGTGACCTCGGTTCACTTTTTCGAGTTTTACATGTTTCTAGGCTAGTTTTTGGAGCTGAATTCGAATTTAGCAACCATTTGAGCATTTACGAAGTAGTTTTGGTGCCTTCGTAACATGTTACGAAGCTGTCAGAAGCGGTTGACACGTACTACGAATACCCGTCACGACGCCTACTGATTGACCTGACCTGACCTGACCCGACCTGGTCTAAATGCTTAAAGACATCATCTGTGATCAAAACTAACACGATATTCGTGATCAGCACCCCGAAAAACCCCTTAGCAGCCACACTTTACGACTTTCTAATAGGTCCCGATTTTCCCGACTTTGGGTCATTGACCTGACCTGGAAGGTCAACCAATGACCTAGGACCTTAAAATTGGGTATCATCGGCTTCCTCTCGTCACGGGCAACACGCTCGTTTTTTCCGCGAAGCTCTAGCTCGATCAGGGGCCAAACGGCAAGGGGGGTCCAACCGACCCCCCCCCCCTACACATTAGAAGCTGGAAAACGCCGCACACATGCGAGGGTTAAGTTATGACACCATTTCACCACACGCAAGTGCCAGAAATAACAATGATCAGCTGACGCATTTTTCTTGGCCGAAGTCAGAGCGCGCGGCCGGACGCACCACCACCGCACCACAAAGTATGAGCAGAAGCCGCGCCCAAAGCCAGGGCCCCGGTAACGTGAGGTAGCCGAGTGACCAGGGCAGCGTGCGCTGACCCAAGCCGGGGCCGCGGCTTTGGGCGCGGTCTACCGCATCCCCGCGGGCAGCCCCGGGCTATCACATGACACCGGGAGGACGCGCGGCCCCGGCTTGGGTCAGCGCACGCTGCCCCGACTCGGCTACCTCACGTTACCGGGGCCCTGGCTTTGGGCGCGGTCTACCGCACCACCTAACAGGCGTGTTCGAAACCGCAGGCGATGATGATGAACGGGTTTATCGAGACTTGATTGGATGAGTCTATCGGTAATAGCGATTTCAGTGTGTGCATTTATTGTTCATAGTGGTGTGAAATGTGGTTGGGGTACGACCGACAACCCGTCGGGGCGAATTTCGCACTGGGGTACTCAAAATTTGAAGAATTTAAGACGTTTCCATGAGTTTTGAAGGTATGGATAAGTTCTAAAAATCCGGTTCTCCTTATCTGGGCCATTAACTCCACACGGTCCAGGAAAGCTGGCACACTACCTTTAATGGCTGTTGAAAACCATTGCCGAAGTGTGTGCACGAGCCCTCTTCTCATTTCTATCGAGTCATTTTACAGGAGTATCTCTGTCATTCAAGGTTATTACACCAAAAGCACATAGGCTAACCAACCACTCTTTTGCTGGAGGGCCATACACTCACACCGCCACTTACCATCGATGTTGAGCATCATTTTCCACTGGCTGGGCCGGACCGACTGATGGAAGCCGAACCACACCTCCCGGCCGCCGCCCAGCGGGTGGTAGTAGCCCTCGGGCGCCGAGAAGAACGACCGGCCCACCGGCGTGTACTTCATGGACGGCAGGTGACGCATCACCACGTCCAGCGCCTGGACGGCGTCCGTGGGGATGGCACGCTGCCGTCCCTCCAGCGCCTCCTCCAGCTCGTACAGGGACACCTGCGCCTCCCACCGGATCGACACGTGGAACACGCGGTCCTTGGCCTCGCCCGGCAGCGTCACCTCCAGGTCCATCTTGTCCTTGCCGATGGGGAGAGGGTCGCGCGTGTACATGTTGCTGCGGCCGTCAAACACGGGCTTCATCGTACTGAAGATCTTGGCGTACGATGTCACCATCGTCTCGATGATGTCCCTGGTGTGGGAGAGAAGGGAGGATGTCAGACGATGCCTCTTCGACAGCGTCACACACATCGCGACTACCTGCACACTAAAAAGATCATACACACAAAACAGCAGGCAACCGTCCTGCAAAACGAACTATCCACATATTCTGACCGTGCACTGCTCGACAGACGTTTCAGAAGAACGAGTAAGAATAAACCTGCTACGACTCGGCTGGTCGTAGCATTGGCTACTCGGCTGGTCTCGCCCTCTTCAAAGGACGGCCACTCAACTCCGGCCAGCCGCTGGGGACGCACCTGTTGACCTTCCTGGGACACTTGTCGGGCTGGATGCCGATGACGTAGTGGTTGACGAAGCCGCGCGGCATGCTGATCTGGAAGTGGTTGGCTCGCAGCTGGATGCTGCGGCCCTCCCGGCCCAGGTTCGGCCGCCGCGGGGCCGAGAAGACTGAAACGGCACAGGGATCGGTCAGAGGCGCAGTCCTCAGATGGTGCCAGATAGTGAAACAAGAGACCATGGTCAGGGCAGGGCAGGTCAGGTCAGGTCAGGGCAGGGCGCCGGCAGTAAACTGGCAGTATCGGACCTAGGACGCAGCACACGAAATTAGGAACTGATCGACCCAGATGCAGCGATCTGGAGGCAAAACAAACGGAAAACACGACAGCCAGTATTTTCCTAAGCGATGTACCGATTTAAGTATGTCGTTGCGATTGTTATGATGGGGGATACTTTACAGTTTACACTCGGGTAATTGCAAATCGGCTGACCATTGCGGACTCGGGAATTCATAGGCATATGCGGTATATATAATGTATGACATGCATTAAAAGACCGCAGGTAGTTCCCTGTGCATTTGCAATGTCTGCGACCGGGTGCAAGCGGCCCGAACCCGCTCGACCGGCTGCTTCACGCAGAACAGAGCGGGAAGAACCAGTTCGACGCGCACCCCTCCCCCCTCCCCCACCACCACCGTACGGTCGAGCGGTGACCCCAGACACCGACCGGGCTGCACGCACGTGCCGGCCGGCGGGACGGGACGAGACAAACACCTCATCAAAGCAGTCAGCTGATGAATAACGGTTCGCGGACGCCGCAAATACGAGGACAAACGCAACAGCTGTTTACTGGCTACTGCATATCTTAGGAAGTTTTTAAACCCATTTCAAATGTGCTATCATCAATCATGCAATGTCATGAAGTATACTGCGCTGACTCATCTTCTAGCATGCTTCTTCGTTTTCTTAATAAAAAAAAATGAGGCAAGTGTGTTCTTGTCAGAAAGGACAATTAGTGAAATTACAAGCTTGATGTCTGTTTACGTTCTTTTGAAGGTTGCTAAACACGGGACTAAAATTCGGATCGCACACGAACACGCCGTCCATCAACGTTCCGTTGTGAGGGCAGCGTGGTGACACGCTGATTCAGGGGATTAACTGGACAGCTGCGATCGGCGGACTACTCACAGGGCATACCTATCGAGCTCGGGGCAACTCCCTGGGCGTCCAGGGCTACTCACTGAGCGTCCAGGGCTACTCACTGGGCATGGACCAAGAGGTTCAGTGCGGTCGGAGCCCGGAGGGCTCTGGGAGGGCTGGGCATGTCGGCCAGGGGCCAGGCATGACTCAGGCTCGGTGCTACTCACTAATGTCGGCCAGGAGGGGATGTGAGGACTCTGGGCTACTCACTGGGCATGTCGGCCAGGAGGGCCGGTGCGGTCGGAGGACAGACTACTCACTGGGCATGTCGGCCAGGAGGGCCGGTGCGGTCGGCGCTACCGCGGATGGGGCGCTGCTGCCGGCGGCGTGCAGCAGTGTGACGGGAGTCATTCCGGCCGGCGGTCCCACCGAGCCGGCCGCGGGCAGCGCCGTCTGCCCGGGCTGGCCAGCTGAAAAACACCGATACACAGCCGTCAGACATGGGGACAAGGTGCCAGGCACATGAGCTGCAGTGAGCACACAATCAGACACAGTGGCCAGTGCTGGACAGGCAGGGAATGCACAATTAGACACACAGGCCAGCAGCCAGACACATGGGGAACACACAATTCGACTCAGTGGACAGAGTTAGCAGTTAGCACACACATTGGTGGGCCCTGTGGGATATGCCTCAATTGAGCATTATTGACATTGAGAGGAAGACCTCACCATATACTCCCAGCCAAGAATGGGTGCTCAAAAGTAAAAATATATTAATCGGCGTCGGGCCGGTGCTCCGCGACTTCCACATCGGGCCGGGGGGTGTCAGAACCCCCCCCCCTCCCCTCCCCCCGTCTAACTCGGGTCCTGGTGAACGTAGCGACACAAGGTAGGCAGCATTCGAAAGTGCGTAAAAAAAATTGATGGAAACATTTCGGTCGTTTTTAGGTCAGGTCAAAGGTCAGGTCGCCAGAGGTCATCAAAGGTCAAATTTAGTCCATTTCAACAATTTTGGAACCTGCCAATGGCTCATTCGGGAACCAATAGAGCTATAGCGCCGCGGAAAAGCGCATTCGATGGCCCTTAAACAGACCTTTACTACACCTTTTTGCAATTGAATTCAACCATTGGCCATAACTGTTTGAGGAGCCATTTCGGCAATCGGCATTGAGCACAACTATTCCACCGTTGCGTGTTTCATTTCAGCTATTCGACAAAACAGATTGAACCCTGAAATGAGCGATCTGCAAAACAGTTTGACACTTCGCCATGACTTCGGCAATGAGCAAAACACATCGGCATTTGGTGGTATCACTTAAGCAATGTTCAAAACAGAATAAAAGGATATCCAGGCTAGTTTTTCAAATGGACTTAACACACATCGACCATTCACCACTTAAGAATAAACATTATGGGCATTTCTAAGCAATAAGTCAGCCGTCCCTTATAGCTGCCTTCTAAATGGGACAGCACGGTAATTGCCAGGCAAGCTTACATGCAGTACGTCTATCTTACCAGCGAGCAATGCCAATCAATGCGGCCGACATATTTGGTTTAAAATTACCTTTGACGTCATTTTAGTCAAAAGGAAAAACAAGTTGTTCCCTTCACGTTTTATTTTTGCTTGCAATATTTTGCTTTTTACATATAATGCTACACACACAGCTGAATTAAATATGTCCAATGCATGCATTAAAGTCATTTCCGTTAGTAGGGGAGACCCGGGAGGTATGGGCCGGTTTTGTGAAAAGGCAATTTTCTTCCAGTGGGCAGTAGCTAGACCCGATTTTTCACTCTGTGTACGTGAAATTGTCTTTCGCCTGCAACGTGTGCCTGATATTAGGCATCTGGGATCAACTATTTTGTCTCGAGACAACTTTCAATAAATCATGTGCTTTTTCGATTCATCAAAATACACCGGGAGGTATGGGCCATGGCCCGGGAGGTATGGGCCGCTGCCATGTTTCATATTCTTTTCTCGACAATGAGAACAATACTCGTGGCTGGTATCTACCTTGATCTCTCTTAGAGCCCAGGAACCGCATAAGCGGCCAACAGCTTACTTCATGGAGGTCACTTGGGCCCATATGTATTTTGGTAAACTCAATCATCCACCATGAAATCAGATCAATAATATTTTTCTGTTCCAATGAAAGTTGAAGCTAAATTTTCGACCTTGCGCGACAAAAATAAAACTTATTGACGGGGACATTCAAAGAAAGCATCATTTTATTGATTTCGGATCACTGGAGGTGGGTGGCCCGAACCTCCCGGTAAGGACACCAGAATGTGCGTAGCATCTCAGCTCATAATCTTGCAAGAAAGCTTCAAATTACCTATCCAGTCTTAACCCGCGCCCGGCTGGGGGTCCTGGATTTCCACGCCCTGCTGGGGGGGGGGGTGTCTGAACACCCCCCCTTCTAACTCGGCTCCTGGGCCACGTAGCGACACGCGGAAGGCGGCGTTCGAAAGAGCGTCAAAAATAATGAGGAAATCACTTCGGTCATTTTTTTGGTCAGGTCAAAGGTCAGGTCACCAGAGGTCATTGAAGGCAAAATTTCGCCGATTTCAAGGTCGAATGTCGACAATTTCCAAGAAGCCAACGCATAACTCGGGAACCAATAGAGCTACAGCGCCGCGGAAAAGCGCATTCGATAGCCCTATTAACGCCCTTTCTGAGTAATTCTCTCAGATTTGACCTAACGTCAACGGTTTTGCCTGCAGGGGGCAAAAACTGCAAAAATAGCCGATTTTTTCGGAAACAGTTTTTCTGCAATAACTTTTGACTCAAGCCTTGTACGAGCTTACTTTTACCGGCATCGTGTTCCTCTCGTCAAGACGCATCGAATGAACTATAACTTGACCTTGAAAGGTCAACTTGAAAATTTGACCTCAGGTCAAGGTCATGACCTGACCGGAAAGGGTCATGTTGCATATCAGTCGATCGGTATCGTCGAGCTGAACACATCTAAGACGTTTTCATCGCTCTAGCATGCCTCTATCAAAAGTTATTTGCGAAAAACTGTTAGATACCATTCGTGACCTAAGATGACCTCAGGGCATTAACATGGGTCACGGACACCATTTTCATGTTCAGTGTGTCTAAACCACTTGTAATTCAGTGTTTGGGAGTGTTTATAATGTCTTTCGTCCAAAAGAGGCGCATTTCAATTTTCTCCCATTGACTTATAATGGGGAAGTCGCAAAATTGACCTGACCTTAGGTCATCGATATCAAAATTCTGAGATATACATTTTGTACATGCTATTGCTCTTAGCAATCGCTGAAAGTTTCAAAGCGATCGGTCACTCGGTGTAGCTATGACAGACATTGAAACTTTTTATGAGGTGAGGTCACTTCAAGTGACCTGGTGACCTGACCTTGAATGACCTTGGTCTGAAATTTTCACAACATGTGTAGAATTGATGTATGATAAGGTGTACCAAAAACGGCGGCGCTCCGCGCCGCCGTTTTTGAGATATTTGCGAAAAACCACAAGGGGGGTGTTCAAACACCCCCCCCCAGCAGGGCGCGGGTTAAGTTGCATGCTTTACACTTAATGTTAGCGATGATCGGACATCATAAAACGAGCCTGGATCAAATTTATCACAAATTTTATGTATGTACCGTATGTTACTCGAAGAGGGCAAAACGCTTTATCACCGCTCATTTCCAAAGAAGACTGAGGAAGATTTTGAAAATAACGTGGGCTGTATAACGGAATGGCTGCTACCAGTTAACGCCATTAAAAGTGTAAAAATACGCAACACTTCTTCAAAACTGTGGTGGCCCATACCTCCAGGGGGCCCATACCTCCCGGGTCTCCCCTACCATTCCAGCCTGGCACGCCTACGTTGGTCGGTGGGCACTTAATTACAAAAACTTCGATTATGTTATTCGCCTATTCAAAGACGAGCTCTTTATTCGCGCATCGAATAAACAAACTGTCCTCATGGCGCATTGCTGACGGGCACCATGCACATGTCTGCCACGACGGTCGCCTTGGCATCCCGGAACTCTCATGAGGGCAAGATTTTGCCAACTTATGAGGCCCATCTCATTTCAAACCTCAGGGCAATACCATTCACCTGACTAATGACTTAGAATGAGCGCAAAGTGTTGTTTACCAGTGGGGTTTACGCACAAAGAAACATGGTGAGCTCCCGGGCTCAGCCGGACGTACGCTGGGCGTGCAGGCTGAGGTCGGTCTCGTCCAGTGAACACTCACCGGCCCCCCGGTGCGCTAGTTCCATCATCCACTCTGTTGTATGAGGGAAATGGCAAGGATTGGGCCCCATGAGCTGCTCCATGCCCTCTGCGGCCGCCAGTGCACGCGTTTAATTGTTTTGATCATTGCTGATCTGTTTTTAAGAATGCTGAAATTTCCATAGACGGTTTTGGCCAATAATGAATTCCCGGCTGCTCAATGACGAATAGTTTCGACCATTGACGATTTGTTTTGCACAATGTTTAACCATTCGCTCAATGTCGAGGTGTAGAGGAGGATCGCCGAACAGTTTTGAACAATGGTGATTCTTTGTGACCAACCGACCATTTGTAGCGCCATCTACAGGGTGACACAAAAAAAGCGGTCATCACCAAAATTCGAATAACTTCGGAAGTTTTATTGAGATCATCACCAAACTTCGGCCACTTTAGGTCACACCTATGTAGCAGACATCCACTAAGTTTCAAGTCTTCACTACGAATACTTTTAGTACAGTGTGTGTTTTACTGACGCTCCACAATGTCCTCCAGGTGAGCGCCCCGGCGCTGCAGGGCGTAGGCACACCTGCATCCGGCGGGCAAAGTCGCCGATAACCCGATAAGAATAACGTTCCAGGGGTAGCACACCCCCTGAGCACTGTCTCCAGAGGCCATTGCACTCTGTAAAGTGCACAGCCATCGGGTTATCGACAACTTTGCCCGCCGGATGCAAGTGTGCCTACGCCCTGCAGCGCCGTGGCGCTCACCTGGAGCACATTGTGGAGCGTCAGTAAAACACACACACTGTACTAAAAGTATTCGTAGTGAATACTTGAAACTTGGTGGATGTATGCTACATAGGTGTAACCTTAAGTGGCCGAAGTTTGGTGATGATCTGAATAAAACTTCCGAAGTTATTCGAAATTTGGTGATGACCGTTTTTTTTTTTTGTGTCACCCTGTATATGGCGAATGTGTACAAATGTTTTGCCCAATGGTCAAAAGCTAACGCAAAAAGGTGTAGTATTGTCCTCAGACTTGACCTCAGGTAACGGTTTAGCCTCAGCGGAGCAAAGACTCTAAAAGTAGCAGTATTCACGAGAAAAAAAACGGTAATTACTTTTGACTCAACAGAGCTGTGACATTACTTTTGCCAGCATCATGTTCCTCTCGTCGAGACGCGTCGAATGAACTAGGTATTAGATGACTTTGAAGGGTCATTTTAAAAAATTGACCTCAGGTCAAGGTCATGAGTATGACCAGAC